GAGCAGCAGCAGCAGCAGCAGCAGCAGCAGCAGCAGCAGCAGCAGCAGCAGCAGCAGCAGGACCGGTGCAGTATCTGGGGAGCGGGACCATGTTGTCCCCGTGGCCACCCAGGACCATGGCTTGCACGTCTGCGACTGAGACCCGCAGCCGCTGCGCCAAAAAGTGGCGAAATCTCGCAGAGTCCAAAACGCCGGCCATTCCGACTACCATTTGGCTGCGGAGGCCGCTGCGCTCCCGCATCAGCTGCACCATCGCGTCTGCAGCGCAAACCCTAAACCCTAAACCCTAAACCCTAAACCCTAAACCCTGGCCTGCGCGCTCGGGCGGCGGCGGGCTCGCGGGCGCCAGGGTCGAGGAAGAAGCAGCGAGCAGCAACGGCAGCAAACCCTCAACCCTAAACCCGAAGTCTTTGTACTAAACCCGCACTTCTAGACCCTAAACCCCAAACCCTAAACCCTAAACCCTAAACCCCCAGCTCCTAAACTCAAAGCCCAAGCTCCACACGCTGGCTTCGCGGGAAAACACTTTTCAGGACCAGGCAGGGCAGGAGCTGCGGTGTACAGACACCTGGGACCGCTGCGGTGTACAGACACCTGGGGACCGCTGCGGTGTACAGACACCTGGGACCGCTGCGGTGTACGGACAGCTGGGACCGCTGCGGTGTACAGACACCGCGCGACGCACCCAAAGGGTTGGTGATGCAAATCACAAAAGCTTCTGGACAGTACATTTTAATTGCCTCCGCCACATCAGCGACTATTTTGGAGTTTATGGCCAGCAAGTCGTCCCGCGACATGCCGGGTTTGCGCGGGACCTGAGGCCAGCAGAAAGCAGCTTTCAATTGGAAATGAACTCCGGAAAGAATTCAAAACAATTGCGATATTAATTCAAAAATAAATCCAAAAATAAACTCAAAAACTCAAAAACTTCAAATTCACGAATTTCTGCATTGGCAGGTGCGGTGTACATACACCCGGCGGGCGCGCCAAGTGTATCCGCGGAAAGCGGGAATTTCATTTTTCATTTTTTTTAATTTTGAAATAAATCCTGGAGACTTACGCCGGCAGTCACAATGACCACATCTGCGCCCTGCAGCGCGGAGAAGTGATTTGATCCCGAAACTTTTGTGTCCACTCCCTCCACAGGCCCCACTTGGGAAAGGTCCAAAGCTTTCCCCTGAGGCAAACCTGCAGAAAAATAAAAGTGGCGAAGAGGCAGCGGCTGAGGCGGCGGCGCGGGTGCGCGCGCGAGGTGTCTGTACACCCCAGCAGCGGCGCCTGCTGCTGCAGCGGCACTCGTGAACTGGAATTTCGCGCCATTTCTTTTTCAGAAAGGGCCTTTGCAGTGACAAGTTGATGCTGCAAGAAGAGCATGCAAGAGTTTTCATTGCAAGTCCTCTTATTGGAGTTTGGGAGGCCGCTTTCCGTCGCCTGTGTGACGCAGATTCAACTTTCAACTTCTGCACATGGGGCCTCTGCGGGTTTCCGCGGCCTCTCTGAGTCGCCTTTGTTCGAAATATTCTTCAAAAAGAAAAACTAAAAGAACTTGAGAATTAAAAACGAACTAGACAGCACTTAATGCAGCGTTTCAAGCCCGCGAGCGCAGCGCCGCTGCAGCTTCCCGCTGCAGCTTCCGCTGCTGCTTACCTTCGACAACGTCGAAAATGCTCACGTCTCCCAACTCCTTCAGCGAAGATAAAAACGCTAAAATGGCGCCTATTTGGCCGCCGCCAACAAGAGCAATTTTGGGGCGTCTCATTTTGGGTTTTCGCGCGAAGTGGGTTGCGGTGTACGTACAGCTGCTGCGCAGACCAGGCTCGCCGCCGGACAGGAAGGAAGGGACGCGACAGGAGGCTCGCCGCCAGTTGTGTGCATTCTTTGGCGAAAAATAAAAGATAAATCCTCAAGAAGGAAAAGGTTTTTGAAGCAGCAACGCAACAACGCCGCCCCACGGGCGACGGGCGCTGCGTCGGTCCTAGCAGTGATCGCAGCAGCAGAAGACCGGGCTGTCTAGACAGCCCCTGGGGTTGAGTGCCGCGGGCCCGCCCAGTGTTCCCCTCCAATTCAAATTAAATCAATATTATTTAATTAATTAAAGCATTACACACCCTAAAAACAGAAAGACTCTGCATTCAGCGCCAGGCGCCGCCTTCCCCCGCCGACGCGCAGACGACGCAATAGAGAGCCTGGCCAGCCGTCAGCTGTACGTACACTCCAGCGCATACAGTTCGTTCAGCGGGCAACTAATGGCTGTGTGCAGTTCTTCACTTTTTCTTCTTCTCAAAAGTGTCGCTACACCCCATCTAATAGCCCGGCGCGCCGCCCAGGCGCCGCCGCCCGCGCTGCAGCCTCCCAGGTGTACAGACACCCCAGCCACGTACGTACACCCGAGGCACGCACATCTGCATGCAGCGCAGCACTGCTGCAGCACTGCGAAAAGTCGAACAAGTAAAGAGTCGGTGTGGGATCGCTAGCAGCCTTCGTTTCAAATTTGGCAGCTGCGGCGAACTCTCACAAGTACAACAACCCCACCCTCAGCCCCCGCACTTCACTGAAAAGCGCTGAGCCAAATGAGGCCCCCACACAATTTCTAAAGGGCCCTTCAGCGGCACCGGGGGCCCCCCTCAGCCCTCTAGGCATCGGGGGCCCTCTAGAGGGGCCCCCAAGGGAAACCCAAGGGGCCCCCAGGGGGCCCCCAAGGGGCCCCCAAGGGGCCCCCAAGGGCCCCTGAGGGGCCCCAAAATGGGGCCCCCGAGGCCTCAGCGCAGTCTGCATTTTAGCAACCAAAGAAGCAGCAGTGGAAGCTGCTGCGTGCGCAGATAAAGCCTGTTGGAGCTTTTGAGGCTTTTGTTTTAAAGAAGGAGAATTTGTTTTAAATTGCATTTTCTTTTTTCGCTATTTGCGTTTTATTTTTATTTCCAATTTGCTCTTCTGACGCTGCCCACACAAACGCGCCCACGCGCCGCCAAGGCCCCCAGGCGAGCCGTCGCTAGCTAGCTGGCTGCCAGCTAGCTAGCGACGCAGCTAGCCAGCCAGCTAGCTGCTGCCTACTTACTCCGCTAGCTAGCTAGCTACCTAGCTAGCTAGTAAGTAGGACGGCTAGCTAGCTAGCAAGCTGGCTAGCTAGCTAGCAAGCTGGCTAGCTAGCTAGCTAGCAAGCTGGCTAGCTAGATAGGTAGCCACCTAGCTTGCTAGGAAGCTAGCTCGCTTGCTAGGAAGCTAGCCAGCTAGCTAGCTGGCTAGCTACCTAGCTAGCTAAAAGAGGATCCGTTTGGGACCGCCGCCGCCGGACTCTGCAGGGACTGCTGCTAGCTGCTGCTTGCTGCTGCTAGCTGCTGCCAGCTGCCGCTAGCTGCTGCTTGCTGCTGCTTGCTGCTGCTTGCTGCTGCTTGCTGCTGCTTGCTGCTGCTAGCTGCTGCTAGTCCACGAAAAGCTTCTAAATTTCTTTTTTGTTTTGCTGCTTCATGCTGGCTTCTCGGGGGTGGCTTTGATCATCACGCCGTCTGTACACCGCAGCACGCGAAAAGTCGCAAAAAGGAAACTTGGCATTTTTCTTTTTTAACATTTTAATCATTTCTGCTTTTTTTTAATTGTGTCTGCAGTTTGCTGCTGCAGCAAACTGCGGAAAGTTCGCTGCAACTTGCTGCTGCAGCAAAAGGCGAAATTAAATTCAAATTCAATCTTGGAGTTGAACAGAAAGCGAACTTACGCAGCTTTTCAACTTGCTTCTGCAGCTGCTCCATTTGCTCGTCTTCGACTACAGAGCCTTCTTTGAGGACTTCTTTGGCTTTGGAGTTTTCCAAAGGAAGAATTATAATTTGGCGCATTGAAGAAAAGTTCGCGGAGCGGCCTTCTGCAAGATGCCTCAAGACTTGAACTTGTTCAGTGGCTTTGGGGGCTGCAGCGGGCTCGGCCACTTCCTGGGGCCCCTCGGGGAAAATGCTTTGGTTGTTGCTGTCGTTTGCTGCTGCTGCTGCTGCTGCTGCGGGCGCTGCTGCTGCTGCTGCGTCGCCAGAACCCTCCGGCTTTCCTGCTGCTGCTCCTGCTGCTGCTTCTGCAGCCTGGCCCTCCCCCTTCTGAGCCTCCTCCGCAGTAGGCTCTGTGCCAGCATTTGTTTGCGAAGCTTCTTCAGCCAAACTCGAAACTATTTTTCCGCCGTCGGGCCCCTCCTTGATGCTTCCCTGAGCCGGAAAGCAGCCAGCAGCAACTTGAACAGTCAGCAACGGAATCTGCACTGCAGCGCGAGCTTGCAAATTAATTAATTTGATTAAAAATGACAAAACTCTGTCAAAATTGCAAAAGAGTCGCCGATGCTGCACAATTGCCTGCAAAGATCTGCAGCCACCAGCGCTGTACAAGAAGTAGCTTCTGCTTCACGACTTTGCAAGCAACTTTGCACGAATTTGCATGCAAATTCACCCAACTCCGCATGCAATTGAAAGTAGAGGTTCCAGAGTTTTCTTACGGGCTCATGGCGCTCCAAAACGAGCAACAAAATTGAAAATGGAGCTCGGACCAAGTCCGGGAAAGCGTGGATGTAGGCGGAGTACGAACAGGTGAGCCGCAGACACTCCAGCGCCGCTTCGCAGACTTTCTTCTGTCCGTCGGCGTTTTTCATCGCCATCTGCAAAAAGAAAAATTAAAACGCCACTGACATTTCAAATTCCAAATCTTTTCAAAATCTTTTCCAAGTTCGAAGTGCTTTTCAACAACTGACACGGCAAAATGCCAGAAACAGCAGGTTTCACACAGACCCACGCAACGCTGTGACGCATTCAAGTTGCAATTCTAGACGGAAACCCAGGCTCTAATAACTTATTCGAAGAATTTCATAAAATATATTTATATTTTTCAAAATATTATAAATATTTGCGCATATATTTGCCCAGTTTCTCACCGGGATTCCGACTTTCAGCGTGCGCTTTCCATTTTGCAAAGTGAAGCGGGACTCTTTGATTTCGACGTAAATGGGAGGCTTAATTTGCAACAAAAGGAGTTCGCCCTCCTGCACAGTGGGTTTTTTGTGCGCGTATTGTTGCACAAGTGCTTGGCTGTTGTTCTCGTTCAGAAGCATCAGATACACGCCATCGCCCTCGCCTGTTATGAACTCCTTGGCCTTGTCTGCAGCAGCAGCAGCAGCAGCAGGCTCGGCAGCAGCTGCTGCTGCAGCGCCCCCTGCATCAGCGCCAGCAGCTGGGGCCGCAGCGGGAGGCTGCTGTGGGGCCCCAGCAGCCGGGGAAGATCCAGAAACTTCCACAGTTGCCCTTCTCGCCTTGGGCTCTGAGGCTGAGTTTTGCTTGCCACACACAGCCCCCATTTCAGCACTTGCAAGATTCAAGAGTTTGGCTGCAGCGAAGGGAATCTGTACGAGGCCTGCACACAAGAAAAAGGAGAAAAGAAGAGAATTTGAAAGGAAAAAATGAAACTTGAAACGCCGGGAAATTGCAAATCCTGCAACTGTTGACCCACAGCTCAACAGACCAACGCGCCGCAGCTGAGGAGCCGCTGCTGCGCTGCAGCTCCTGCTAAAAGTGCGGGGCTGATTTGTTTGACTTTCAAATTGGAAAATAAATCCAGAATTGGAAATAAAGTGCTGCGAAACTAAAGTAAGAAGCCGCAAGGCGGGTCTGCTGCGCGGCGTGCAGCAGCAAGGCCTGTGCAGTTCCGTGGGGGCTCACCTGGGGAACCCGCGGAATCCGAATTCAAAGTTCGCAATTAATGCAAAACGGCTCATAGTTTTTAAATCTGGTAAGAAATTTCAGAGAAGAATGCAGGCGAAGGACAGGGCTTTCCAGTATCGAGAGAAAGCAGAGAGCCCCGCAGCACGCCACGACTGCCCATGTCGGATTCGGGCTGAACTCCGCAGCGTTTTGCCACTCTTTTGTTTTTTTGCAATTCAATAACTAAAATAAAATTATTATAGACATATTAACACGTCGGAAGCTCCAGTCCAACGCAACGAGGATAGCGCGCACGCCTGTCTTCCCTCCGACGCCGAGCAAGTGACTAGCCAAGTGGCAGTGGTTCTTCCTTGGAAAATTAAAGAATAACCCAGCAAAGAGATGCAAATTAAGTAATAAGAATAACTAAGGGAGGCAGAAGAGATGCATTTCCACTTACATTTTCGCGGAAAGCCCAGTTTGCCGGCGCTGCGGAGCCTGAGCACCAGTGGCCTGTGCTGCGTAGCGCTGCTCGTCTAAATCCTCCAGTTACTCTCGCAAAAGTACAAATTATTACTAAACAAATTTCATAATTCAGTTCAAACAAAAGAGAGAGAAGATCCACCAGTTAATTGCATTTCTCCTGCCTCGTGCCCCTCACTAGAGTTCACACACTAACCAGTGGCGCGCGTCAGTGGCCCACGGCACTTCTGCTAAGAGCAAAACCTGCACAATTTTGTGTTTCTGAAAAAAGTTGAAATGGCACTGCAGATCCCTAATCAGCGAATACGCTGGAGGATACATACAACTTTGAAATAGCAAAGACTCAGCATGAGCAAACTTTCAATGAAATTCTGCGTAAACGCAATACAAAGCCAGATAATAAGGTTGAAGTCTCGCCAGACCAGCTATGGGAAAGAATACCATGTTAAATCTAGAAGATTCCACTTGCATTTCAATGCCTGATCCCAAAGAGCTCATTAGAGCTTCGGGGGCCCCAGGAGCTACCGGAGCCTTTAAATTTCTTTTGCGTTGCACAGTGAAACAATCATATTGCATCTTTGCAATTATGTTTTCCTTTTTGCATAATCTTGCCTGAAAAGCAGCACCTTTTGCTCTTATATCAAATGCTAAATTGAATTGGAAAGAAGCTGTGAGCGTGACGGTCAGCAATGGTCACCTCTGGGCATTTAGCTCTGCGTGTCCTACGGCATTGGGTTTTCTGTGTCTTTTGCATTTTTCCTGAAGTCTTGGAAATTCTAGGGGAACAGAAACCCAGACAAGCCCCGCAGTTTTCAGCTTTTCTCCCACAGGTCGGAAGTGCATTTGAAGTGACTCCACCCGCAGTTGAAGAGGAATATGCCTTGAAGCAGAGGAGTTGAGTATTGTATAATATTGCTTTTCTTCTTTGTATATGCATATTATACTGGAGTAACTCAAGGGGAAGCAAAAAGGGTGCTTACACTCGTAGCGCTAGCATGAACAAAGTCTGGGCCAGGAAGTTGCAAGGGTTCACTGAATGCCAAGCCCAATATGAAAAAATGAAATATAATTGAAACGCTCTTGCTTAAGATGTTTTCTTTGTATTTAATAAATACTCCCGACAGCAGGGGCTTCCGTGAAGGTGCTTTTCACAGAAGCCTGGAGCGCAAGCTGGCAGCAAGTTGAGCGAAGGCTTCTACATTCAGTGTCGAAATCAAAGAATGCCACGCAAAAGTCACGTAATATATAGAATAAAAATATGTGTCTAGCGCAAAGATCCCAGTGCTTAGGCAATGGCGTCAGGTCTGCTGAAGCTTTCAAACAAACAAGTGGCACTCACTGTTCTGTGATAACCGGATCTTCTCTGTTTTTATTTTAACTTGCGGCGCACAACGTACCGTTCATTGGCAAGCCTTTTGATCTCATTACCACTGCATTTCCAGACTCGGCTCCTTCCTAATTTAGGCATAGTCCTGGCACCGTAAATTATGGTAATATAATGGCAAGTAACGCATTCTATTAGCTCTACAGACTACTGTGCAGACGAGCACTCATGGTTAAAGAACTCTCAAAAAGAAAAGATTTCTTTTTGTTAATTAAAGTGAGAATTATTACAAATGGTGATATGAATGCATACAAGTGTAAACCATGGAATTTTGGGGAAATTTTCAAAATGGCACCACACGGAGTGTGGTTACGTAGATTTGCAATTAAATCCGTAGGAAGCTAATTAAAGGTCTCTACTGATCTGTAAGCATTTGCATGATTGAGTTGTACGCATTCGACATCGTGTCTACATGAATTGCTAGCGCAAGCTCTCTGAATGAGGTTTCATGCTGCATTATTCCCACCACAAAATGGCGATCACTTTCTTGCGTTCCATTCTGCTGCTTGATAGAATAAGACAAGGAAATGTTTCATATTCTTGCCCTAAATGCTGGGAAACGACTCTTTTGCTTGAGGAAAAATGCTGCAAAGGGAGCTGAGACTCCCAGTGGGTGACAACTAAAATGCACAAACCCCCACAGCCCGTCGCAGCTAAAGTTCATAGCCGAAAAGACACTGGCAGAACCCACAAAACGGAATTCATGTGAACAAAAAAACAACTAACTCATTAGTTTTTAGCTCGATTGTTTCCACATCTGCCTCTCAAGCCTCCTAACAATCCTAACGCTACAAACTTGCAAAGCCTTGTACGCAGCCTCGAGAGCCGGTCTACTAACTTATGTTCTCAAACAACTGCAAGTAAATGAAATTCCTGGGTTTGATGAAGGCAAAAGGATGCATAATTTGAAGAGGGTTACAAAGCTTGAGTTATGTTTGCGCAGGTGGTACTGACCTGAAGAGCCTTCCCACAAGAACCCGTTTACGTGGCGCAAAGAAGCAAAAATTAAAACAAACGCATTAAATATTATATTTTTGTTCCTAAATGTTTACCCAGCGGAAATACAGTATTGGAGGGAATGCCACTACCTGGCAGGCAGAACCAGGCCTTCTCTCCTCAAAGACATGACTGATTACAGAGAAGGCTCAGGCCATCAAACTTCGGTGTATCTTGGGACAGACATAAAGAACAATGCTCTTATGCAAGTTTATTTCACACTCTGGAATTTCTGTTTATTCCTCGCGACTGAAGGCCAGGCGGCGTGTTCACCTCCTACCCTTATACTCCTCACTGCATGCAAAGTGGGCAACTACTGAATTATTATTCCATGGCCATGGCAGATAAGGCTCTAAAGCAGTGTGAATGGAGAGAATGATCAAGCGCAGTGTAGTGGTAGGGCTCTGAATAAACGCCCTTCTGCCTCTTTCGCAGTGTTGTCTTTCCTCCCCCAGCACTCTTGTGTTCTTTTCCTTCTTGTACGACTGGCAGAGTGATAATATAGGCGAATTTCAGTGCAGAACTCTTGGAGCAGGCAATGCCGTAACTTCACCCTGGAATAAAGCAAGCTGCCTAATGCTAATCGCCGATTCCGCTGGTCTTCAGGTTCATCCTCCTGTCCCACATTGGCTTATTTTTTTAGTTTTTTTGGATGCTTTTGGATAAAATGAAATTAAAAGGCGAAATAAGGGGAATAAGAAGTTAATTGTGGGTAAAAAAGTGGTTTATTTACAGGAAACGTTGGGTAAAGGGAGAGCGCGCAGCAGAGCGAGCCCTCCAGAATTTGTGTTGGGGGGGTTCGGCATTTTTCTGTAACTCGCTCTCTCACACAACCTAACGAGTTTACACGGACACCTGAGAACTGTTTATGGAAGCCCTGTAGTCCTGACACTGGTTTCACTGCGCAGTGTGAATCCTCCCAACATATCCACGCATTTGCAACGCTCCACTTTGACAGTGTCTGGTTAGCATGGACTAAAAACTGATTGAAAAGATTCTGCCTTCGTTTGCTTGACTAGTCTGGAACTCAGCAGGAAGCTCTGCAGCTATTGTGCAAGAGTCTATGAAGCCCGTGGATCGGGAGCGGCTGGGGCAAAAGTGTGCGTGCAGGCGCATTGAACTATCTAAATTCTGTATTTTTGTTTTTCCAATTAAAAAGTATTTTGTACACCTCTACTGCTCCCTGAACAGGCATGCTACGCCCTCCTTGTAAGGAATGGCGTGGCTGCTGCGGCAGCCCCGTGGCGCTACAGAAAAGACCGGCAACAGCCTGAAGGGAATTACAGAACAATTGAAGTAAAATTAGCATTTCCACATCACAACAGGGCCAAGGCATCCTCACTGCTTACTGAAAATGACGAAGCAAGAGATGGTTCAGATGTACCAAAGGAACATAGAGGAGCTCACCGCGCAGAATCCGCATGCAGAGGTCTGCAGAACAACTTATTGAGCCTAATCCGTTTCCAATCGTTTCCATTTACTAGCTCTAGTTGAACTTCTCCACGGGGGGGGCTGCCGCTGTCGTGTTCCCAGCTCGAATTCAAAGTAGCGGCAGCAGGCATTGCTGGCCACTGCTCACTGCTGACTCCACAGCAACGCCCATTGATGGCGATAGACAGCCATGAAAGGGTTTTGGAGCAGATCATGCTTATGGGGGCGTTCATGTAGGCCAACTAGTCGTTCCTTATAGTTTTCCGTTCATGTTCGGGATAGATCAGTTTGGTGTTACTTTGCAGGACCCTCGCCTGCTCCAGGCTAACCAGGGGAGCGCGTGCGCCCTTCGCTACACCATGTTCTGCCGGTAAGAAAGCACGAGTCAATAGCTGAACGGGTTTTTAAGATGCCAGTTTCTTGCTGTTTCCTCGATTTCTTTGCTGCTCTTGTGCACCATATAGTGCTCATTTCAGGAGGCCTTTTACCGCTGTGGAGCAATAAGGCAGTAACAGTTTTCAACTCGGATGAAAACATGTAGTAGTGCACGTGATGTACCAAAGAAAATTTAGTTGTAAAAGGTCTGGCGTTGGTGTGGCTGTGGTGGCGGGCAGGTGTGCACGGGAGCTGGGCGAGGAGAACCCGCGTTGCAAGTAAGCTGGATTTTGCATTCCTTTGTATCAGATAAAACCAGCTTTCTTCATTTCATTCATAAATAGAAAAATGGGACATTCTATCCGATTAAAGCATGTGAGGCAGCATATAATGTTGAGCTGCTGCTGTGCACAGGTACCAGTATTACCGCGCACAGATCGCGTGTACAGCTGAACAGATGGATGACTGGAACGAACACAGAAGCCGCGGTGGGACACCCCTGAATCTGAAGCTTCTTAGCTCTTACCCTGCTTGAATGAGACATCTTTTTCTGCAAAGGAGGGATAAAGTGCTCCGGTTGTTTTGCAGAACTGTGTGTTCTTGTGTTTACCTGTGGGAATGGACGCTGCAGGCACATGCATGTTCGACATCATGCCCGAGCGGTCTACAAAGCATCTGCGGCAGTAACCTGAACACTATGGGCGCGCCCGCCTCCGACTTCTTTCGTCGGCGTACGCGGGTGCACAGAAAGTGAAATGAAAAACTTTTTTTTCGCCACTCGTTTGCGAAGAAGCCGCACTGCTGGCGCAGCTGCGCTTGACAGCGCAAGAACGGCGACTGTCAGTTGAATCTAATAATGTAACTGAAGTCGCGGTCCAGCACTCGCACGTTGAACTTCTAGTTTGCGGATCCGCCATTTAGAAAAAGAACTGTTCACTTCAGAGAACTGAGAGGCTATGCGCGTTGCTGTGGCAAGCAAGCGAGGCTGCTATTTCCTGCTCAATTCGACCAACTGCACTTCTCTCCCTGTGGAGATTTGCTAATTCAGGCAGGTCAATCCTGCTGCTTGTTTTTAGTTATTATGCGTAGTCCCTCCTCAGCTACTCGAAGCTACTTAGAAACTGCTGCAGTTAGTATCGCTTCTGCACTATGCACTGTCATGCACCTTACTGACACGGCGCCAGCCGTGTTTTCACTCTATACGTTGCCGTACCCAGAGGAACCATAGAGGGGTTCACTACCCTGCAGATACTGGTCTCAATTGATTGATACTGTGTACGTGTTGTTGCATTAGAGAATCAAAATTTCTACATATAAAGAACTTTTATTAGCTATATACTGCAATACCACTGACTGGTAGCACCTGCGAAAACTTGATCATTGCTTGCATGAAACACTAACAGCAACGTCTCTGTGCCCTACCCACTTCCCTCTAAATCTGCGCCACTGCTAGTTCTAAGCCTGCCTCGCCGCTAGCTACCCCGCTGCTCTCCTCATTCCCCTACTAATTCATCCAGAAGTTGAGTACTTGAAGCCTTCTTTGGCCATACAGTAACTACACCGAATCCTGCCGTTTCTACCGGTGGAATGGAAACCTGAAGCACCAAATGTTCGCGACAGCTCTAGTTTCCGCAATGCCTTACACCACACTGCGTCGGATACTGTTTATACTTGGCCCCTTTTGGGGCGTCACCTTGAAAACATCTTTGCATGAACCGTCAGCAAGCGGCGGTTCAAGAAAAAAGCTGTCACACTGAATACTGCTGCGCCCGCACGTTTACACCCTGCAAGTGCAACTCCGTCGAAGCTCCCAAGAAAGCCCGTCACAGCCGGCAGTCCCCGCTCACTCTCCAGCTAGGACTACATTATATTGAAACGCGGCGAAGGAACGAAGGCAGACACTCACTCAACTCGTGATCGGACAGACTCAGAAAACGCATGGTTTTGCATCATTCACCTTGAGCCCCAAAATCCGGATGTGTTACTACAATTACTACTATTAATCCCAACACATGTAATCCGAATGCACCGTTATGATGAGGAAGCGCGCCCACGCCAAACACTCAGCGCGGGTCAACAGCCCTTAATTCTAATTCTAAACTGTAATTCTACTTGCATCTATATTCCCACACGCACCACATATATACATATCACCGACGCCTTCAACTCCAGCACTGCACCTTCTACCTAAAATCTGTCTACACCACCACCTCAACTCCTCAGATCAGCAGATCCAGTTCAGCATCGAAACGGGGAACGGGCACATATCCGCCTTCCGTGGGTTTCACCAAGGACACCTGTGGCTTGTTGTTCCCCAACTTGTTGCACTGCTCCTCGGTGAACCCCGCAGCAAGGCACTGCTGAGATGCCGTCAGATCCTTGATGCTGCGTTGGTCCCCCCTCGAAACACTCTCTGCAATGTTGTCCGGCAACAAGCCCTTCTCGACCCCCTCGCTCAACAGCACGGAGGATGGGAACACAACCATGGCCTCCGACCCGCTCGAGCTCACCATATATCCCGCCAGGCTTGCAAGAAGCACCCCAGGAGTCGCAATGCACCTTTCGGGCAAGTGCACCGTACTGCGAACATGGAAGCTGCGGGAGAAGAGGCTGCAGACGCCCACAGCACAAAAACGAGACCTTGAGCTCCACCTATCTCGGAAGCCTAAGATGCGCCTCACCGCCACCAAAAAAACCCAAACTTACCTTTCGCTCTTCTCCCCGTGCTCCTTGCGCGTCTGTTCACGGTGGATACTCGCCGACAGATATTTCCCGTTGTAGTCCATTCCAAACGTGACGCTGTTCATTGAGACGCTGTTGTCACCCATCTTAACTCGGAATTGGCATCTGCAGCAAGCGGCCACACCAAAACCCACACAAGCAAAGTGAGCGTTCGAGCGGCTGTCACCCTTCCCATGTCCTGTACAACTTACGTCCGCTCGTCACCTTCCTGGGGGGAAATCGACAAATCCGCCCCCACTGGCTGCATCATATCACCCATTGGGCCCAGCACACCGAAGAGAGACGACATGGACTGCTGGAAAAGCTTCTCCAGCTCTGCAAGCGACCCGCCACCAAAGAATCCACCCATGTCCGGAGACTCTGGCTTTTCAGCTTCCACAATGCTCTGTTGTTCATTTGCATCGCAATTCGCGAAGGACAGGTGTGCTGCCATCAGAGCAGCAACAGAAGCAAACTGCACTCGCAATGGAGCCATCCTCGAAACGGCTGACGGGCAAGAGAACAAACCGAAAAAGACAATTTACAGTGATTGTGCTCCAAAAATGAAGACTGGATATATTGAACCTCAACTGAACGCCGACAGACTCATAACTTTTACATTTAATATGCCTTGTCCAGTGCAGGTTGAGCTGCGACAGTTTTAGGCATCAAGGATGCACAGCGCGGAGCGCTCGCGGTGTGGCGTCTTCACTGCCGCTACTGGTTACCCAACCCCTAACGTTCCACCTGATCTTAAAATTAGTTCAACTGCTTCTAAATACCTTTTTTTGACGATGCCAAGATAAATTCACTCCACACAAATTCGTCCCACGTACAGCAGGCACTACACACAGGTTCCCCAGCTCAACACAAGAGGATGTCACGCTGCAACAGCGGTGGCGGCAGGCTGCTTTTAAGGCAAAGCTAGTGCTCCATATTCAAAAATTAGCAACAAAGCGACGCTTCAATAGGAAACAAGTTCTCTCAGCTTAGAGTTCTCCTTGTTTCTCCTTCTTTCCCCTGGAGTTGCTTTGAAGGGAACGGGCGGAACCTAGCAACCACTGGGGTCGCTTTGTGGATACATGTGTTTTCAAGGCTTAAAGGCAACTTACTCGGACAGAATTATATGTTTCTTAATGAGGGTTTGTTCCACGTCTCGCAGCAGTAGAGCCCAGTTCAGCTCAGCCACTTGAATGGCAGTACTATGCAGTTGCCAGGGTGGAGAGCGAACAGCTGTAGCTTTTAGTTGGGGGTTCAACTGCCGTGTAAATTTATAGCAGGTGCTTCTTTCAGCATTGAAATGGATGTTTAGGGCGTTTTTCAGGTCAGGCTGGATCTAGCTGCTTTATGGTGACGTGGTGGGGCGTTTTTTGTTGGATGCAACGCTTGTTGTGAGCACAGTCAGCCGGTCAATCTAGTAATCAGAGCTGGGACAGCGCAATTTCACGGAAGCGGAAGTTCAATAAAGTGCGTAGAGGAGCTTTAAATGAGTGCCTCTAAATTCTTGAAGGCAAGGGCCCTGTTCGACTTCGCTCTACAAACGTAGCAAAGAGGCACGCCGAAATGTTCTTCAGGCGCCACAGCACATCAAAAATCTTGTTCTGGAAGTGGAAAGGGTCAACTCCAGCACGTATTTGCTGCAAATAAGCTATGATGTGCAGAGTTGACAAAGCTCTTATTCATGCAAGGAACTGTTGTGGTGGAACGGACCCAGGTCTGGAACTGCTTGGCCTTCATAGAATCTGTGCAGAGAGGAGAGTCAGTCATATCGTTTATCCTTAATTAAAGTCGTACTGTTATTGTCCTAATTTAAGAAGTCGCCCACGGCACACCTGAACCAGCCTTTCTCAAGTGCACTACGAAGCAATACAATGGACCACAACAACGGAGCAAGATGGTTGGCGCTGGAGGCCATATTCCCTAAAACAAGCATCTTACGAATGTGCTGCGGTGTGCACAAAGATAGAGCCCTGATGGGCTTTAGTTCTAGCTTTTCCCATGGAATCCCACGCCTTCCGAATGTAGGTGCCCGTCGTTCTTAGGCGTCCACTATGTTCGCAAGACTTCGTAGACAAGCTAGCGCAGTTAGAAACGGGGAGCTACACACGCGAATACTAAAGTGTTGCAGATTGGTGCTGCTAAAGCACTCACTAGTTGTTTATAGCCCCAACTGGCAAGGCATCTAGTAATGTGAACCACTTTATGTTACGCAAGGGCTAACTCAGGCATGACCACGAAGCTGCTTTCCACTACACAGTTATTCTCAGCAGTTCACTGTGCATCATGTTTCAAACCTTGAGTGAATGGTTGTTCCAAAGGTTAGTTATGCTTCTTAGTAACGAACGGCTAGTACAGACAGCCGAAGAGGCCTCACCTGAAATTTTCGTACGGCGGAAGTCCAGTAGGAACGCTAACACCAACACATAAGACAACCAAAAAATGCAGCAAAGACGCCAATGGGGTTGAAGAGGGAATTATTCATATAGCCGCGTCCCCAGTCCGTCGGAAATGCAGCACCGCCGCTAGCCAGATATATGTTAAAAAACTGAACACCGAATTGAAGCTTGTAGGGCGGAAGCTGAAGCTTGAGCGCGTAAAGATGGTATTTTTGGCGCATCAATAATCACAGGAACGCTAGGATGAAAGCAGCATGAGGGCTTTTCTAGGCTTTGTGGAATGCTTTACTGCCAAAGGTGATACGGCCGCGAGTCCGTTGGTACAATGGAATACCTTGCTAGGGATTTTCCTACGCGTAGTAGGCCATAGTCGGAGCCCTGTGGAAGCGAAACGCCCCAGCCGGCTGTTCATGCTTTGCGTACCAGCAACTGTTCACGCAAAGAAGCCTCGGCATCCGGATACGAGTGTTTGACCACCAGAGATATCGTAAAGAACTGGTGGTCACAGCTGTGACAGATCCTACCACCACGTAAGCCATTCCTTAGTGGAGAACAAAGCTCCAGGTACCATGCTACCCTACGGTACCTCAAGCTCCGTTCTCCACTAAGATGCAGCTTAATGAACCGGCTCAGGATGCAAAGGGATTTCTTAAGCCGGTTGCAGAGAAGCAGAACCAGGAAACAGAAAAGGAACAGTAAGGTATGATAAGCAGAGAGCAAAAGGGACTTGTAGTTTGACTCTTAAATAAAATTAGACTATTGGGAAATGATGAATTGCAGGGCAATGCACGCAACACCAACAGCCAGTCCGCCTTATTTTGTAGATTGAGCGGCGCACGGTTCGCAGCTGCTGCTGTTGAAAGAGCCGGCCAGGGAATACCGGGACGTCTGCACAAACCCAACACGACTCCGGTCACCCAATCTGAAGCCTTTGACAAAACTGTGAAGCACTCTTGGATCGCTGGCCAACGCGATTGCCCGGCTAGCTGTAGAAGAGCTACAGCTCATAGTGTAGCAGCTACCTAAGGGTTAAATTTTCAACTGAGGCTAACGGTGCCATTTTGCATAATGACAGCATGCTTACTTAACTAAAGAGGTGGACAGAATATTTCTTGGGTGATTTCCTACCCGGACGTATTTCTCATGTTCTAGTTTTGGGACTTGATTAGCCTATCATTTCCCAGATAACAGAAGCTTTTCTGTCCTTCGCCACTGAACAGTTTCAACAGCAGGATGACGCCCGCCTACTCGAGCGAGACTATGAGTTGGTGGCAGGCATGTGCAAGCATGCTTATCGAGAGGCTCATGTGCAACTGCTACAAGTTCCGAACGCTTCCTTGGAAAAGAGCAAAACCGATGACGCATTTTGGCCAGCGTGTCCAATAAGCGACGTCTCACCAGTACCTTCTCCGAATCTTCCAACCAAGACACCATCAACCAACGCAACCTAGATAGGTCGCCTTCTTCAGTTCAGCCTGTGCATGCCATGCTGCCCTACACGCTAAATTGCATAACAGTTTTTAGAAACCCTTTCAACAGTCGACTAAATCTGCAAGAGGCTAGTTTCCAGCTGACGCTGCTTTCTAGTCAGCGTAAAGACAACGACAGGCAACAAACCATCGTTGACGATGCCACCTGAGACACATAGAATCATCCGCTTTATTAGTCATTGGTTGCCAGGCAATCAAATAAAAATGGCACATGAGGCAATGATTTGTGCACCGTAGCAAGCACCTGCAGCGGAACGCAACCGCTGTGCTTGCCGACTGAAAAGCGAACAGTGCATCTGAGTCAAGGGTAACTCAACGTTTCCAAAGGTACAACTGCGCCTTAATAATAAATGGCGTCGCGGAACTGCTGAGTCCCTCCGTTATGCCGACTATCTGAGACACTCAGCCCTCTCTCTGCCGTCGTCCGCTGTAGCACCTTTGAGGCAAGCCCTACTGGCCTCCCTTTTCGAGCAAATTGCTCACATTTTTCCCTTAGCTTTGCCTGCACTGGAGATTATCGTGTCCGCAGCTGTGGAATCTCTAAGTGTAGTCTTGGCACAAAATATAAGTGGTGCCCCTCCCAGAGGTAACAGCCCAGGCATCCACGCGCCTAGTCAAGAGTTTCCTCAAGCTTTTTCTCTCGGCTGCTGCATTCGGAATTCACAGAAGTGCCAGAGACTTCTCCAGAAACGCCATAATCACGAACTTTTCTACCTATGACGCGATTTGAGGCGCTTTTGCTGTCTGGGCTTCTTATTTAGAGGAATCAGTACTGATTACCTATCAGCCTGCTGTATGGCTAATATAAGGACTCATAGGATAGCGTGATAACCTATCTGTGCAACTGCGTGTTTATGCCATCCCTCGGCATTCGAGTAGCTCGTCAGGTCCACACTGCTGCAGCTGCTTTGTAACAACGGGGAGTGTTGGTTGAATTTTTCTGCACCTCAGTAACTGTTTTTCGGGCTCCTTCAGTGATAGATGCAGCGCGTGCTCCATTATAAGTGTTGCGGTAGAACTAGGCATGGCATTACGTAGTGGCAGTCAGTTAGCTTTGAAGACCCAATAGATACTGCGACAGTTTGCTCAGATCTGGCAAGTTCCACCCTCAGGAAAAAAATATGCTCCTGGGGAGGTAATTTCACTGCTAGGAACTCAGATGGGTGAGTTGGAGCATAGTTAACTAGGGTTCGCAAAAGGATTGGTTAAGACGAGAGAGCAACGGGTCCGAAATCAGGGAAAATACTTAGGGACGGAGGCAAGAGGCAAAATATGCAAGAAAGGTAAAGCCGTAAACCTGAAGTTGTACAAGTTGTGGAGAAAAGTTCCGCGAGATCCGGGCGGTGTACCACGCGGGAATTGAAGACGCAGAGAGGCTCGAAACTCCCCTTGAACCAAAAAAAGAATATTTAGATCGCATTTATGTCATTTTTTCGCTTCCAATACATTGCAGCTTGTTGTCACGTGACAATTATTTACCAGCTTCCCTGCTGAGGCCGAAGAGACCCGGATGCAGACGGTAGCGACCGTGAGCCTGTGGTGAACGGCCAATGCCGGTGCTTGAAGCCTCTATGCATGCAGATAGAAGAGCAATATTAAAAACCAGTATTTCATACTTTTAGAGCTGCGGATCATTGTTTGTGTTGTGCTGGTTAGTGCTGTTCACTATGCGTTCAGCTCGATAGCAAGGTCCACAGGACCGACCTTCACTGCCGACTGTGTCTCGAGGCTAACTTTCACAGTCCATGAACCAGCATGCGACCATTTAATTCTCAAGCACATCTTTTGAGCTGTGTTCAAAGCCTAATGGTCAATTTGCAATGCATGTGAGCGGGGAAACTCACAAATCTCAACGCCATCCCTGGGAAAATTCGATAGGAAGAAAATGAGGATCATTTTGGCGTTGTCCTTGCCCCTCACTGCAACATTTGTAGACTGCTACCGTCTCGCAACAAACGAGGTGGGTAACGGAACTCCAGCGAGTTCTGAGTCTGCCGGAGATGGTGGTGTCTCCCTTGGCTTCAAAGATGCGCCAGTGAGAGCAATTCAGGTTGGCCTCCAAAAGGCAAACCCTTCTACCTTCCAAGAGTTTTCGTTTATAGAGGAGGGTTCCCCCATTGAAAGCAAGACAGGCTCAGGAAATGAGGCAGAAAGGCGAAACTCTACACCGGAAGGAGGCTACCTCAGCGCGAAAAGAAAGAACATCCACGCAAAGTCTTCAGTCCATCTCACTGAGGTTGAGGAGTTCGCAAGCGTAGTCAAGATATTTGTTAATACAGTCAAGGCAGACTTCGTGTCACCCTGGCAAATGATGGCTCCAAAGGAGCAAACCGGGTTAGACTTGAAAGCGAAACGGCAAAGATAACCATTGCTTTACTGTATCTGTTTTCAGTGCTGAGATCGTAACCAGCAGTTCCGCTTCAAGTTGTCGCAATTCCTACGCAAGATAGGAAACTTTGCGCTGCTGGCTTTTTCTCAGTTCGGGATTTGTCGTAGAAGGCAGAATGATAATGACCAACGCTCACCTCGTAGCGGATCAGACGCGCGTGCTCGTCAGACGGCATGGGTACGATTGACAGCATGAGCTACAGAAAGATTAAATAAACATACCATACGCACAGCAATACAAGTTCGTTGGAGGTGCCTGCTACTTTACTGCAGCAATCCCAAGCGCTTTCTTGCACGTGTCCTCGCCGTCTGCCACGAGTGCGACCTAGCTTTGGTCACTGTCGACGATGACGTATTCTGGGAGAGAATAAAACCTCTTGCCTTTGGAGGAGTTCCGCAGCTGCGGGTGAGCGCGTTTGCAGGCGCACGAACTCCTGCTGCTCGAGCCAGCATAAGCTTTGCATTGAAACTACACCAAACTCGTATTCTCTGCAGACTCCTGCCTTTCTTCCAATAAAGCCATTGTCCCGCTATCCTGTCAGCGTTGTGATGCTAATAGATCATCTATTTACTCTCCATTGAATTACTTGCATGCGTGCGGACGCCGCAGGAAACAGTTGTGGTCCTCGGCTATCCCACTGGGGGTGATCAGCTCAGTATCACGGAAGGAGTGGTTAGTCGCGTTGGGGTGTCCATGTATGCTCATTCCTCTCTTGGGTAGGTGCATTGTTATCAGGGCAAAACGCGGCAAGTTTCTGTTTGCAGCAATGTTAGCGCCTTACAAGTAGAGACGAAAGCGGAGGGCAATAAAGAACCGGTGACATTTAGTACTGCTATTCGGCTCTTGCAGGCTTCTCACGGTGCAGATTGACGCCCCTATCAACCCGGGTAATTCGGGTGGGCCGGCCCTAGCTGCAGGAAAGGTGGTTGGGGTGGCATTTCAAGGCTTCAGCGAGATGCAAAATGTTGGATATATCGTGCCATTTCCAGTCATTAGACACTTTCTAAACGACATCGCCCTGCACAAGCAGCACACAGGCATCGTATCTTTGGGAATCAAGGCCCAGCCAATGGAAAATGAAGGTAAATTTAAGGTGGATTCGTTATATCCAACAGACGCAGATGAGTAGCTTGAAGTGCTGCTGGTTATATGAACGTGAAAATTTACGACTTGTAAGGCCCACCAAGTAACTCAAATATCCTGTTTGCAGCTTTGAAAAGATTTAAAGGAATGGACACCTTGCCACCGGAGGCCCTTCCAGAAAATGTGACGGCGTCTGGCGTTCTCGTTGTGTCTGTTGATAAAGTTCGCCAAAGCATCTACACCCAGGGGAAAATCGCTCTTCCACTCTCACGCTACAGTCAGATTCCAGAGAGTAGCCCAACAGGAAAGCGCTGCGTGCGATACAAAGCCCACGTGAGTCCTTCAACTGCGGCATTTGACTCGTCGATGGCAAAGTGTGAACTGATGAAGCCTATATTGCTGGGAGACCAACCGGTCCCTCGTGAGAACGACACAACTGAGCATCAGAGGAACGTGAAGGAAATTGCCACTAGAGTTATTTGGCAGCCAGAAAACTGGAAACCCAGCACGGCAGCTTCTTGCAGCCACTGTCGCCACCAGCAGCTCATACAAAGCGAGAAAAGAAAGGTTTTGCAGAACCAGAAGAAAGCGAGCCAGTCTGACATACCAGAAGCAGCTGATGTTCAACGTGAAACTGGGCCCATGCAATGGGTTAAGACAATCGTGCAAGTGGAAGACGCTGAAGGGGTTGCTGACGCTGGGGGCAGCAGACTGCTGAGTATAGTCGAAACTAAAGAGCAACATCTGCGACGGGTGTCAGCTCAAGGTAGCACAAGCAACCGCGGAGTTAATGAAGAATCAGCACCCCAATCCGGACAGGACGCCAGGATGGAAAGCCCACTATTCCGAGCCGATATAGGATCAGCAACCCAATCCGGACAAGACGCCAAGACGGCGAACCCACTACTGCGAGCCGATACAGCAGGAGTACAGGAAAGTACATCTGCCCGAAGCGAACCACCCACGTTGGACTTGGGAGTCCTAAAAAAAGCGGAAAGAGCTGGCGCCTTAAAATATACGCCAACGAAGCCTAGCCGACACGGAAGTGGGGATGAAGATGATGAAAGACAGAAAGGCCAGGGTCAGCCAGACCTTCGCACACAAACAGGACAGACCCCAGTTCCGGAAAAAAGGCAATCACACACATCCACTATTCGCGCTAGCTTAGAATCCCTTCTGCGCGAGATTTTACGAGGACCGAGCAAACTGCGCCAAGTAAGGAATATTTTGCGAGGCCGTGGCGGTGGCGATGAAGGTGACAGCTTGCGGGAGACATTTTCTGCTACCAACGCGAAGCGAAAAGCAGAGCAAACATCCAACTCTACTGATAAAGAGCAAAACGAAGACGCTTTGGAAAAGCGTCCAGTTGTCTCGGAACTGAAACTGGCGGGGAAGAACCCAGCTGGTTTGGCTGAATCCAATGATTCAAGCCCCAACTCAACAAACAGCAGCTCCAAGGAGGTGCGCAGCGAAGAGCGGACAGCGACTGAAAACAACGCAGAAGAGAAGAGAAATCTGGAAGAGAAATCACAAAAGCACGAAAGCCACAACAACGAAAGGGAAACAGAGGACACAGCTCTCGCAGTTGCCGCCCATCCTCTGGTAGATAATCCCTATTTCAATCCTGCGTTCCTCGACGAGAAAGAATTCCTCGGCTTCCGGGAAGGTGACGTTATCCTCTCTGTTGGAAACTACAGTATGTTACTCTCCTCCTCGCACCTTGGCAGCTCCGGCATCTCTGAAATAAGGCTCAACTGCACACATGAAGCGAGATTGTATAGGAGTACTGCCTATTAGCTGTAGTGGTAGTTGACCTCATATGCGATGCGTCTCTGCACTGCAGACATCGCAGACGACGGAACTGTCTCATTCAGGCAAGTCAATTCATTCGGTTTGGCCTTCGGCTGAACATCCTGTGGTTGCAGACAGCCACGGAAAGTGCCTCCTTTCCTGTGACATAGCCTCTGCATGAATTGCGCGAAGTAGAGTCTTCGGTGCTTTCAGGGATCTGGAACGAGTCTCCTTTCACTATGCCATCACTCAATACTTTAATGGAGAAACAACATGGGCTTATGTGCTCCGCGATAACCGAGTCATCAAGATCACAGTGAGCTCTCCAGAGAAAAAATGACGAGCAGTAACCGATCCACGGTCCTACAGAGGGCTGCTGCTGAGGGCGTCTTTGCTCAAGCCGTTTCTAAGTAGCAGCTCGTGATGCGGGCTTCTTGAAATCAGGTTCCACTGATGACGCCAAATTTTAAGGTCCCTCCGTTTACGTGGGACATGAAGCCATCTTACTTCGTCTACGGCGGGTTCGTGTTCACGCCACTCAGCAAAGTACTGCTCGTGAGTCATATTTAAACAGTTCTGGAAGATTATGCAATTCTTTCAGCACACATCCTGTGCCTCTACTATGCGGTGGTTCAAATGCGGCAAACCAACTCTGCACGCCCTTACATTTAACAACAGGGCTCCAGTGCTGACTGACTGCAACTTTGGTTTCAGGCAACGAAATTGCGTAAGGAGGCACCGCACATGTTTGAGTTCCTTGTGCAAAAACTCGACTATCAGGAGGAAGCAGGAGACGAATTTGTTGTTTTAAGCCTGGTAAGGAAGCTACAGCTTGGTCGGAAATAAAGTGATGTGTTATACGCCCCCCAGTCTAGTTAAGGATGCGCATAGTCAGCCTGTCTCCTCCCGCTCATGAGGGTGTCATAGGTCAAATATGCCTCACTGACGCTGGACAAATTGGCAAGCATGTACGCAGATCCTTGCATCCGATATTTCCGTTGGATATGAAGTGCCACCGTGCATCGTCCACAGTGTTAACGGCCACCATGTCCGCAACATGCAAGACCTCGTGCGTTTTATCGAAGCACAAGATGGAGATTTCGTGGAGCTTCAGTTGGAAGCCAATGAAGCAGACAAGTTGCATGTTGCCATTGACCGAAAAAAGGCCGCAGCGATTCAACAGAAGGTCCTGAAGGACCACAACATTGTTTCCGACAGGTCGCCTGATCTCATTCGCAGGAAAAAATAAATCCTCTTCAAGCTTTTGTTTTGTTGTGACATGGTCACACTGACTCAAGGACACGCGCCGCCCAATTGGCTCGAAAGACAGCTGTCTGGTATTCTGCTGCCATGATATCTGTGGCTGCGGAAGGCAGGTAAGCACAAAACCTACAGGACATCAACAGCACTGCAGGCCATGTTTGTCGCCAAGCGCTGCAAAGTGGCGACCATGAATTGATAAGGCCTGCAGCAGCCTAGGCATCCCCGTCCTGTCGCAGCGTCACGTCCAACAATATTTTTTGTTTGGAAGCTTGTTGCATGCAGAGTTTTTGGTTAGCTTGTTGTAGAGTCACCTTGATAAATATACTCCTCACGATGGCTAGTAAGCTTAACACTCTGTCTGAGCACACCAGTTAAAAGTTTTGCAGCTTATCGCCTAGCTTATTGAGGTCGTATAGACGTTAACGTATCGCCTCAATGACGAAGTTCATGACCCTCGTTGACCCTTCCCAGTTAAACAAGTCACCAACAATCGCAATGTGTTTAAACTTCCTACGATGTAAAGGCGCCGAAGGCAAGGGGTTGATGGGGTGACCCAAATCCCCTTCCAATCAGTCTCCTTCACTACTACTTCCGCTACTACTGTCACTGCTGCATTCGTCTCGGCTTCGCTTCCCTCTCCGCCTCGCGGTTCCGAGCATAAACCCATGGAACTGGGAGACGTCTGGAGCTTGTGGCTGTCCTTCCGGCGTTGCAGCCCTCCCATCCCTTCCAACTCCAGCCTCCTGCGCAGAAACTCAACGGCGGCCAATCAGTTGCACACAGCTGTCTTCCTAGGCGCACCGCTTACCAGGCCGTTCCACAAAGACAAAGGGAGTGCACCGCATCACAGGGACACAACCATATTCGTCAAAACTTAGAGCTCAGAGCTGTGAAGATGAAATCAGTTAATTAATATAAAAGCACAGCTAATTGCATCTCTCCTGACCTCGCCTGTCGCCTTCAAGCCGGTGTCTCCAGCGCGCTGATCTGCTGCGCCCTTCTGTCGCTGGCCGGAAGTAGCTTGCGGCGCCATGCTGGCCCGATTGGCTGCTGCACCCTTAAGCTTGAGGCACGTCTGCGTAATGCGTGAGTGCTTCTTGCCCTGCTTTCTGCACTGTACGCGGACCGTCTTGGGAAATGGGCCGGGGACTAGAAGCGGCCTCAGCGAGGGCAGCTGCCGCACAGGGCAGTCGCGGGGGAGTGGCTGTGATGCTGGCCACTGCCCATTTGCTACAGCAAACCAAAAGGTGCAGCAAGGGGTGGCCGAGGTGAAGCGCAACTCATAGAAAACCTCTTTGCCCTTATCATCTTGCCACATGTCACTAGAAAGCAGTGTAGTATCATACGCAGGAACCACGCCTTGAGGCGTTTCTGAAACAGAGAATGCAGCATCACGCTGCAGGTAGACCAACTTGGCAGCGACATCTGGCGGAAAACATATTTCAGCGTATGGCTTCGTGCCCAAAGCCGCTAGCCGCGAGTTTTGCAGCTCTTCCATCGAGGGGTAAGGCAAAAAGTGATAATTGGGAAACGCCGTCTGATGGGCAACTACGTCTACAATGTTGGCTGTTTCCGGGGGAGCCGCTACCGAGCCTGCAATTCTGCAGCAGCAGAAAACGCAGCGCGAAAAGCAGATATAGAACTGAGGTTCAATAGACTGGAACTGTTTCCCGAGCCACACTACGTCTCCATTTCAAGTTGTATAAGAATCTCCCATCCTGCCTGGAAGGCGCCGCCGCACCTCTTGGCATAATTTATCACTTCATTTAGTTCTAGGGGTCTTGAGGCTTCGCACTCTTCTATCGCCCGCAGGCGTCTGAGGGCTTGCACCCATGGCGTATCCTGAGCAGAAAAGGATGCCACCTCAGACCAATGATGCCACAGGAGTACAGAGTGTAGTCAGTAGCGCCCAGCAGCTTCAAAAGTAGATTCGCAAACTGAAAAAGGCTGTGCATGCATATGCACCTGTGCGTGTTCTTTTGTGCATGTACACTTGTGTTTGCATGTAATATATGTAGTGTGCATTCGTGAACATGTTTTCTTACAAGCCGACTTGTGATTTTGCTGAGGAGGAGAAACTCTTCCTCGGTGGAGAAGCTCTCGAATGCTGTAGCCTCAGCATCTGCTGCAGGGTCTTCCTGAGGAGGCAGTGGGTCCTGCTTCACATCTTTACCAGAAGCAGCAGCTGCTCCAGCTGAAGGTGGGTTGGATGGGCGCTTGACTAGGGGTTCCTTTGCCTCCACACGGCTTTGAAATTCTTCCAGCCACTTCGGAGATGTGGGATCCGGTATGCTGTGCCACTCTGGACGTACTATCTGCTGCAGCAGCCTGTAAATACGACTGCAGGGCGGCTCACGAGCACCACCTTCGCGTCCGTTGGCCACATCTTTGTCCTGGTCTTCTCTCTTGAACCTTCCTTCACTAGCTTCTGCCGTCCAACGGGCATCTAGGCTCAGTAATGAATCCATTGTATCCAAGAACAAGAGGCGCAGCTGCAAGTCTCAATTCATGGGCCAACTTGTGACGCTGTTGGCGTTTCAGCAGCTGTTTCAACACTACCAGCATTTCAGCAGGCAAGCAAGAGGCTCCGGCGGGACCCCATCTGCCCTAAGTGGCCACATTCCATTGAGCTGCTTAAGCCTGCCCCTTCTTCTGAACTTCTGGATCTAGAGGAAGTAGCCCCAGTAACTGTGTCAATGCTGACTTTGAGCGGAGAGCGTATCCACTTCAGACCGTCGGCTGTACGCCCTACGCGCAATGAGCGCCTATGAGTGCTCCGTCCAACATTCGATGTTTCAACAAAACTTACAGCATAACATTTAAGTGAAAGCCGACGCGCTTTAACCTGTTTTCCCGCCGTACCGCCTGGAGGGCCCGTAAACTTGCGGGGCCCCACGGAGGCCCCCCAGGTCACAGCAATAGAGGGGACCAACCTCCATTCTGGAGACGCGAGGTGGTGTAGAAAGGCCAATTATTATGAAATGAGATATATTTTTGCAGAAAACAAGTGGTCTCCGAAAACTCCACCAAGTCGAAGACAGCTCTCCGCGTGTGGCTACTCCATCTCTTGAGGCTGGAGATTTCTCTCTAACGCGATGTCCCGTTCTCAATTACATACAAAAGCTGTATGAAGAGCTCAAATAACAACATTTTACAGACCGGCGCCACGAACTGTCTCCAGAAAACATGTTTTGTACAGGGGTCCCCCCTGGCCTCGGAGCTGGCCCGACCGCAAGCTTGACACACGAAAGCCGGAAGGCGGTGGCATGCATAACATACCATAAGTGTCCTCTGTAGTGCCAGGTTCTTCAGCATGATGGTGCGTGCATCCGCACACACATCTTACGCTGGAATGTGAAGAATGTTCTTCATACCTCCAAACCACAGGGCATTATCTTGCTCCGTGAAATCATGGCAGGTACGGCTCTATACCCGTCGAGTACGGGTGAGCAGACTGCGTTGACGTCGGAATGGGCATTCATGGGAACGCCGATATGCCCGCTGTCTCTTGATCAGCTAGAGGAACAGCTCTGCAGGGAACAGCCCTGGCTGAGACATGATGGTCACACAAGTTTGCCTCCCCGTCTGCTTCTCGAAGCCGCCGCTCGAGCAGCAAAAACAGAAGCTCGCCGCGCCAGCGGAGCACTTGCGAAGGCGGAAAGGGCTGCAAGAAATGCTCGGGCGGCAGCAGAGGCACAACACAGGCGCGCCGCAGATGCAGAAGAAGCGGCCCGGATAGGTTTGGGCGCAAAATCCCTTATGGAAGCTGCAGCAGCGGCTCATGAAGCGGCAGAGAGGGAGGCTGTGGCGGCCGAAGCAGCGAAAGAATTGGCACAGCGCTATCACGAGGCAGCGCTTTCTAAAAGCCTGGCGGCTCGGTATTTTTGGGACGGACAAATGAATGACGAAGACGAGCTGCAAAGGCAGCTGCAACAGGCAGCCTCAAAGAGCGCTGGCCGCTCGCCTATTGGTGGTTGGGTTCCTGGCACTTCGAATACAGCGCACTTCCAAGATGATAGCTCTGAAGGTGAGCCAGCGCCACTCCCCTTCTCTGCCTACACCATTCATGGATCTCGCCTCTCAAGCGCCATGTGGGCTCCCCACAGCATTTTGGGTTGCGATTATTCACAGCTGGGTTGTTCCGCACTGGTTTCCTGTCTCTCCCACACCATTGTCCTCGTGGCGGTGTATGCTCAGCTTTTTTTTGTAACTACACTTTGCTGTACATTCGGTTGCCCGCCCAACTCAGGCTTTACATGCTCCGATTTCACTTCCTCTCGTTCGTCGCGCGCAGCCCATAGAGTCTCTCGACCTGAGGACTTCATGGACCAGGAAGATATGGAGGTACGGACAGAATTGTTCATGCCTGCAAGCTTTCCACGCCGACTTTTCGAGGGGCTTTGTACTTTTTTTTGTCACACTTGTCTACAATAGGCGCTGCAGCAGCCGTGCGTAGTGACTCAAGTTTGAAGCATAGGCGCATATCCCAGCATTATCGTCTGTGACGGTTCTGAAGCTGAGATTACGACGTTGCAGTGGACGCTGCCGAGCGCACTGCAGCCGCCATCCACGCTATGCCCTGCTGTTCTGGCGCCTGCAGCAAGCGGCCCGCGGAGCGCGCAAAGCTTGGCATTCTGGGCAGCTGCAACACCGGCACAACGAGTGGGAGAGCGGAGCAGAAGCAGCGTCATCTTCAAAGGGGGAAAGAGAACACGTACTGCGGTGGTCGCGGGTTGAGTCGCGGAGAGAGGGCCTGCCTGTCTTCGTAGGCACTGGTAGGCCAGAAGTGGCTAGCGGCGTATAGACGTGGTTGCGAAACTTGGAACAGCAAGGCATAGCTAGACGAATAGAAGAGCAGAAAAAGACACGCAAGCGGAGGTGAAGCGAAAGCATGGCCTGATCTCACTGTCAATAGCGTGACTTCTACAGAATCCGTCGTTCTAGGGACCTTCGATGCCTCCGACAAAATGTCATTAGAAGCTGAGTTTCCTTTCAATTCTGCAGGTCACGCTGAATTTCCGTTTCAATCCCAGTGGCGCCTGCAGTCAATGCGTCGCTACCAGTGGGCGCGATCTCTAGTGAAAAGCCTTGGAGCAGACGGCAGGGATCGCCGTATTCCCGCATGCGATCTGGAAAAAGCACAACCAGAAACGAAGAGCATGGGCCCTCAGCTGCCTCCCCACGTTGAGGCAGTCAGACAAATGATGCGGCCGAAAGGTACTGAAGAGCAAGCCTCGGAGAGAAAGAATGGAGCTCAAGATGCTAGCGGCAGTGAAAAGGATATGGTGGGCGAAGAGATGTGTGTGCCTTCACAGGAGAAGCCAGCAGAAGCCTTACCTCAGTTGCTTGCTGCTGAGGCCACCGCGGCGGCTGCAGAAGGGGAGGAGTGGGGGTGGGCTGCGGCACAGAGCCTTCTGCGGCTGCAGCCCTTGGGGCCTCTCAGGCTTGGACTAGGGTTTCAGCAAAAAGAAGCTGACCGTGCCCAGCTAGTCAGTCAGCTTTCAAAAGCCGCTACCAACGTACACGCAGAGTATGGCAACAGCAGCAGTATTAGCAGCAGCAGAGCACAGGTAGGGGAACAGCGGATGAAGGGGTCTGGGGAAGTGCTTGAGGTGAATGTGCGCGAGCCTCTCACTGGTTTGCGCAATTATGCCCTTGATGACGACGAGGGAGGCGAAGAAGTCTACAGCAGCACTGCCCCGAATAGTAGCTTGTATGATTTTGGGGGTGCCACTGAGTCAAGGACGCGTCCTCTGGCTGCTGATCTTGCTTGTCGGGCAAGCAAAACGGCAAGCCTGAAAGAGGAAGAGCGGCTGCAGCTGGCTAGGGTGGTGGAGGCGGAAGGCATAGTGGTTGTTTCAGATGACGGACAGAGCCAAGCACAAGACAGTGGAGAGGAAAGGACGGAGGACATCATAGCACCTCATGACCTCGTTGACAACAGAGAATGGGCATTTGAGACCTTTTGCGAGTGAGCGTTCTCATACCTTTTCCGCACCGGTGTACTCCGCTTTGTTCCTATTTGCAGCTGTGACAGACGGGTGACTGTCGCATTTCAAGTAAGGTTTCAGAGACACACAAGGGTATGAGATTTATAGGCAGACATCTCTGTCGGGTAGCTGTTGATTTTCCTGCGATTGCGTACAGTTTGGCTCTGCCGCCAGTGCCTGTGGGCTTTAACGGAATGCACACGTCTGAGGAAACCAAGTTCCTCTCGGATAGTGTTGAGCTGTTGGCGGACGAAGAAGAAAGGCGTGAAGTAATGCAGTCACTAGGCAGCACTCATCAAGAAGCAAAGGAGAAAAGGGGCCGCGGCTTCTCCAGCAGTAGCTTTGGTGTGCTCAGAGCTGTGATGGGAACTACACCGCCGGACAGCACAGAGCCAGAGGGTTCGGAAGTGAGCTCTGCATCCCGCATGCAGCCGCTGTGGGCAGCTGGCACGCCCAGCAGTCGTTTGTCTCTCTTGGAGCAGGTCGGGGGGAGGAAACTTCAGTGGGTAAAGGAAGGAGATGAGGAGGCCGCAGCAGCTGCTGCTCGGCAACCCATTTGGCTGCTGCAGCACCAAGAACAGCTTTTGCGCCGAAATCAACAACAGAGAGTACAGCACCAAATCCTACAGATGCGCCACCGCCTCAACTGTCTTCAGCTGCCCTTTGTCGCTGATCCCAAAACGCAGATGCGGTTTGAAGTTTACACGAAACTGCGGGTGTGTCTCAGCTCTTCCTGAGAGGGAAGGCGATTGAATCGAGTGAATTGATTCACGTCCCAACAACAGGCGCTTCACGTTAATATGACTTTAGCTGTCTACAGTCTCTACTCCAGAGTCCCTATCGACGGACGTACGAGGATCACCAACAGCCCTTCGTCCAGAGGAGCGAATCAAAGTGCAAAGCTGCACAGCAGACTATTCCAAGATATGCTGGGAAATGCTGGTTTGGTTGGGTGATGCGCTGGGCTGCAGGACACTGAAGCCAAAAATGGAGAACTCGGTCAGCGAACCAGCGCCTCCTCTGTGCAGGCTTGTACAAATCCATTGTCAAGTACAGCAGTGGGAGCCACCGCCGAGTCACTCAAATCAGGTGTTACGACAAATCTCGAAACCGATAAAGAAGAGACGACAGCTGGTGAGCCAGTGGCGTCGAAAACTCACAAAAGACGGCCTTTAGCACTCGGAGCACTAACTGCTTGTGACACTGTCATCTGGGCAAGGTTTCAGCAACAGACGACGCTGATGTTTCCCCTGGTTGTGTTGTAGGCGCAGCAGGTGAAGTCGCTCCTTTAGGGGATTATGCGGCTGACCTGCTGACTACACAGTCAGCTGACAGCACTAATTCAGGGCACAACACAAATGACGCCGTCAATGCTGCTCTTAAGGCTGTCGCCGCCATCAATGCGGGTGCTTCCCCCGAGACAGTTATGCCCCAACCGCGCGGAGGCCGCGCGGCTCCAGTTGGGGGGAGCACACAAGAGAAAAAGACGCAAGTACAAGGGCTCGCAGAGTGTGCCAAGAACTTCCGGAGGATTTCCGGTGACTCCGAAGGGGCTGCGCGGATATGCAAAGGGCCTGCTGAGGCATCAGTTTTTGCGGCTGCCTACCAGCGGATCGTAGAGCAGAGGCAATTGCTGCGGGAGCAAGAAGCCGCTTACAGGGAGCTTCAGCGAGACTCGCTAGCTCGTCTTGGTATATTGACTCAGCACAACATCACAGACACTCCTGTCACCACAGAGGCCGCCCGTCCTCCTGAAGAGACCGAACCCGCTGCACAGCACATTACAACACGCAAAGCAGCCGCCCAAAAGGGAAGCGTGGAGTTCCGGACGATGCTCCCATTGCTGCGTTCGTATCGAAAGAGCTGCGTATTCGTCCCCTCACCCCACCTCTGCAAGCTGTGGGGTCTTCCTGACCCATGGGCAAACGTTGCTGTAAGTTTTGGCTGGGAAATGCAGCTGGCTGACAGTCACCGCTGCAGCTTTAGCTGCTAGTGTTATTCCCGCCCGTAAAGTTCCACTACGAAGGCCGACGCCGGCAAAGGATACTCCAAGCGATCCACGCATTGCAACCGAGCAAGGTGTTGAGCAGATGCAGCTTCATGGCAGTTTTACTGCTGGCCAAACTCTACACTCTGTGCGGAAACAGTACGTCATGTCATGTTTGCTGTCGTTTGCAGCAAGTCGAGCTGCTGCGCCTACTTCGGGAGCAAACGACAGAGAGTTCAATCGAAACAGGACTCCAGAAAGATCACACAGAAGCAGCAACAGAGACTGGAGCAGCAGCTGCAGGTGTATCTGGGCTAGCTCCCCCCCCAGTGCAGGTTGTAGGACTTCCGAGCGCGAAAGACATCACAGACGAGACCGACGGTGCAGCAGAACCTGAGGAACTCCTGGAAAATGTATTGCTTGAGGGACCGAGCAAAGACAGCTTGGGGTTGTTCAAAGTAAGGAATGCTACCCCTTCGCGTTCCTACCAGACTCACACAAGCGTAGTGCTGATTTGCCAAGACAGATTTGTGGCTTGGTGCTAGTCGGCCTCTCCTGAAACTGCCACAAGTGGCAGTTTCGGGTCAGGCCATTTTCGCTCTTCACCAATCTTTCACTGTACACTGCAGAAGGAAATATATGCCGAGCTGAAACAGAGGCGCATTAATGCCAGGCGCCGCCGTCGGACCACTCCTTTTGCGACTCAGGCAGTTTTCGATGCCGACAGCAGTGAAGAAGAAGAGTCAAGATGATGCGCAAGCTGGCAGCGGTGAGACCCCTCAAGCGCACAAGAAGATGCCTACAGGTACTTCACCCGGTCACTATTGCCTTGTAGAAGCATTTTGCTGATGCTTACAGCTTCTTAACAGGTGCGATTTCTCCTCAACGTTTGTTTGATGGTACGAGGCGACTATGCACAAAAGTAATATTCTCGTCGTAGCTTCAATCCGAAAGTGCTTTTGCTGCACCATGAACGACTGGAATGTTGATATAATTCATCTGCTATGCGCTGCGCTTTTTTTTGTCGTTTCCGCTAAATGAGCGGGACTCCGGTAACATGCTTTCGCGAGCCCAACGCAGTTACTAGGAAAAATTTTGTGCACCCTACTTAATCGTTTTCGTCAGGCGCCCACATAGTCACAGCATGGCTTGCTCTACATTCTTGCTTTGGTTAGAGGCATCAATTGACAACGAGCTAAAGCGCCCAATACCAGTTCTGTCGTAGAAGTGCCACAGACGACCATTTGTAATGGAGTTTCTGTGCAGTACGTTTACAACCGCCTCATTCGCTTGTAGCGTCTCTGCACTGACGATCTAGCACTCTTATTCTGGGCCCAACAAAGGCAGAGCTCCTGCCCTCACACACTGGCCACAATTTGCAACCAGGGTGTTTGGGGGAAATAGAAAGAACATCCAGTCACTCATGACACGGTGGAGGATCTCGTTAGGTGTAGTGAATGTGATATCAAGACTTATCGGCAACAGCTGAAACGCGCTACAACACAGTAGGATTGTTCCGTTCCGCTAACATGGTGCAGCTACGGAAAGGTTTATAATCAGATGAGGCGACGGAGAGCAACACAAGGCCAGGCGTCCTAAGTAGCAGATCCCCCACAGGCAGTGGAGCTGCGAGTGTAGGGCAAGAAGCACCAATAAGTTGGATGGGTGATCATTTACGGACAGCTCCGTGCCGAACATGAGCGTTACGCCAAACTGAACTAATGAGCATTCGCCGAAATCCTAATGAGTCAATGCCCCAAGATGATAGGGGAAGGCAGAGAGGTGCCAGCGCAAGTTCACGATTTTCAGTGATAATTGGTCGTGCTTGGGGATGAGTTAATTGCGTGAATCTTTCGTGGGCGATGCGCATGGATGGCCATACAGGCTATACAGGCAAAAACACACGGGCACTAGTAAATCAGCTGCGAAAGCGAGTATAAAACAATTGTGCCAAGAAACAGATGGTAAGCCATCTGCGATAATATTGGCATTACATCCCAAATTCATTCTTTTAGGTCTTATAGATAACTAAAAGCTTCTGTTAGAAGGTAGTGGTGGTAGCGAGGTGTGGGGCTGGGGCCGCATGCTGCGGTTTCGTCTTAGCCATGTGGGCCATCAGCTTTCTCATAGAATTTCTTCCATAGAAAAAAAACGCGTTTTCCCGGTGCCGTTGGCGTACCGCATCAGAGTAGTTGCTGGCTCTGCAGTTTCGCAGTGTAGCCGCGCTGTGCTTCGCTCGGGCTATGGGGCCTCAGTGAACTGCTATTGTTGCTGTTGCTGTTGGAGACCGTGTCTGCTTCTCGTGCGAATTCCTTGACATATCGCTCATATTATTTGGACGTTTTCCACGGTATGCTGTCACTACATTAGGGTTACGTTGACACTATGCATGACCTATCCAAAAGCTGGCCACGCTGACCACTGCCGCCATCGCAGAATGAACACGTGATAAGCTACATTGCAAGTTATCAGAGACCGCAGCTTCCTTCTAAGTGCGCGGGGGCACTGTGCTCTGTAGTACCCTGAAACACGATAGGTATCGTAGCGGGGCCGCCTCCGCCTCCAGGGGCTGTGGCCGCTAATTTACTGCACTACAGAACTTCAGCGCTTCGTCAGGTCAGTGAATTCGTGTCACTCATTCGTGCCAATTGAAGCCGTATGTATGTCTAGTGCGCAGGCTGCTGTCGACTCGAGGTCTGTTAAGGCCGCGTCTGTGTCCATTCTCGCCCAAATGGAGTCCGGCCAGAACCACCAAAAGGGCGCTTTGCCGTCCCATGCCAAGGGAAATGGCGCCAGCGCAAATAACGGCAGCTCGCAGAGTGGGAACGGCTCCGTACGTGGAGGGCGTGGAGGACGTCCTGCTTATGCGCAGTCGCTTCAGTGTCAGAAGCTTTCACCTGAGGAGAAGGCAGCTTTCAGTGCAGACTGGAAGCAGCTGCAGCAAGACGATATCTCATCTGCCGATTACTATTTTAACTCTTATGCCCACTTCAGTATTCATGAAGAAATGATCAAGGATTCTGTCCGCACGTGTGAGCTGAAATCGGGCGTACCTCCTGAATTTTTGATCATAGAGGAGCATCCTGCGGAATATTCGCTAGTCGGCTACGATCTGTTCACCTTCATGCTTGCGTGGATAAAATAGATTCTGGTGAACGAATTTTTGTATTAAGCCGCTCCATAGTGAGTGTCCTGCTGAGCCATAAAGTAAATAAAAACCCCGGTGGCTCTTTTTCGCGCTAACAACTCCTCTTGTTTCTTGTTTGCTCCTCCTGCAGGCAGCTATCAGCGGGCCATCATGGACAACCAGCACTTATTCAGGGGAAAGGTAGTGCTGGACGTGGGCAGTGGGACGGGAATTTTATCTCTTTTCGCAGCCCGTGCTGGGGCTAAGCATGTTTATGGTATTGAGTGTTCAGAAATAGTGCGCATAGCCCGCAAAGTGGCGGCAGCTAATGGACTGGAAGATCGTGTGACATTTGTGGAGGGGAAGGCGGAGGAAATTGAACTGCCGGTGGAGAAAGTAGATATTATTGTCTCCGAGTGGATGGGCTACTTTCTTCTCTACGAGAGCATGCTGGATACAGTCATATTCTGCAGAGATAAGTGGTTAGCAGAGGACGGACTGATGTTTCCGGACAGAGCGCACCTCTACCTTGCAGCCATTGAGGATGCTGACTACAAAGTGAGCAGAGATTGCTATGGAACAGAACGTAAGCGGACGGACATCAGTATTGAGTCATCAATGTACGCTTTACCGTTATGGCTTTTGGTGTAGGAAGAAAAGGTCGGGTACTGGGACAATGTGTACGGCCTTGACTTCTCTTGTGTCAAGACCTGCATCATGGAGGAGCCCATTGTTGACACTGTGGATGAAGGCGCAGTTGCGACAACGTCATGTTGCGTACTGGTGAGAAATAAGCCGACTACGTTTTTGTCTTTGAAGGCCGGTTAATTTTGGAGGTGGCGGAATATTGTGTTGCCTCATTGGCGTTCGTCAAGCAGGTTCCTTTGTCCCCGCAGGAGATTGATCTCGCAACGTGCAAGCCTGAGGACTTGGACTTTTGTGCTGCATACAGTATACAGCTGCGCCGCAAGGACTTCCTTCACGCTTTCGTAGGTTGCATTATCTTGTTTTCAGTTACTGTTTTTGGGGAATCTGCACGTGGGCTCTGTGCCTTTGCATTGACGCACTAGCCGGGAGTGCAACGGGCTTTTTCGCAGGTTTGCATGGGCTGCTTACAACGAAACTGGAGGCAATTCGGTGCACTTGTTGTGAATTTAGGTCGCATGGTTTGACGTCGTGTTCAGCAAGTGTCATAAGCCTGTAATTCTGAGCACATCTCCGCACAACCGCTACACGCACTGGAAGCAGACCGTGTTCTACATGGAACATGTGCTTGTCGGCGAGGTAGGAGATACGGTAAAGGGCTTGATCGCCGTCAAGAAGAACAAGAAGAACCCAAGGGATTTGGATATCAAGATATCCTACGAGTTTCAAAACCGCCACACCCTAAAGCCTATTAGTAACACCCAGTTCTACAGACTACGGTAGATAGGGATGCACCAAATTAAGGTGGCCCGGCGGGAGTTGATGAAGAAGCAACTGTCACCAGACCACAGTTACAGTTGCCTATATAGTGACCACGCGACGGAGGGAGATGTGGTATTTTCCGCTCCCTGCGGGAGAAGAAAGTGCGATTCTATGCAGCTTCTGTGTAGACGCGAGTGCTCCTGTGGGGCCTGCCTGGCCACTCAGGTACTCTAGCGCATGCATACAACAAGGGCTGTTGTAGGGCATATAGCGTCACCAGGCGGCACGAATGCCGGAGACGGCGAAATTATTTATGCTGTCTCTAATGTTTATTAGTGAATAAATGAGTATTAGTTAATTGCAAGGACTTTGGATATGGTTGGAGGGAGCGCGCATGCTATCTGCGTGAAAAGCGTACTTGAAACGAGAGCCCCTTTTGTGCCAAGGAGCAATTTCTCCTTTGGTAGCAGTCTGGAAATCCAGCTTTATCTGTACGGGTATTGTGGTGTAGTTAATTTAGTCAGGGTCTAGATGATTCAGTTAGGCGCATGCCGTGGCGGCTTGTGCATTTCTTGCTGTTCCGTTGACGGCCCCCCCTATCCCTCTTAAGGGTAAGTGGGAATCCCGGCTTGCCACTGGCATTGTTTCGTGGACCCCATCTGCTCCTAGTGTAGGCATCCTAGTTGAGGACAATAGCGATGAGTGTGCTTGCGGCATGTCAAGTGAGTTGAGGAGGACATGGTTAGCTGCACTTGAGGAGGATTCTGGCTGTCGACACTTGCAAGGGGGTGCCATGGGATTGTCGCCTCCAAAAGTGGAGGCCTGGCGGCGCATGGCTGCTGGCGTTTCTTTGCAAGAATGGTTCTCCTGGGAGCATTGCCACCGGAGTTGTTTGTGTAGTCACCCCGATATAGGCCACTAGTGGCAGGGCTAAGGCATGATATAATGTGAAAGCTTAGTGCCAAAGTCGTAGTGTGTAAGGTTGCACTGCCTATGTCCCACGGAAATTTACTGTAGTGTTCACGTACAACACAACGCGGGGGGGATGCGTTTCGTGTGCTGTATGCATCCAGTAACAAATTCGAATTACATGGTAGTATTGGTGCGGAGACTTTAGAATTACGAAACGTAACCAAGCGGGTGAATTTGGTTGAACGGGAACTATTGCTGTTCCGCCGACACTAGTGGCCGCCTTTTTTGTCTAGCGGGATGAAGCGATGAGTTTTCCCTTCAACAACTATATCAGAGCACATCTTTTGAGTGTACCGATGGCTTGTATAAGCAAGATGAAAACCTATTCATCAATTCTCTGTGTGCGGCTATCCAGCCGAGATGCTGCTGCAGCTCCTGTAGTCGAACACCTGAGAGCACTAGAGTGATCAAGTTAGGAAGCTAGCGCCTAGCCATGTACACAGTTTCTAGTGGATCGACTCATGCTAGAAAATATTTAAAAATTGTAATCTGCAAATGACTGATGCTTACCAAGAGGACCATTTCATATGCGTGTCTGGTTCAAGCGCTACGCGTGGGCACAGTAGTGGCTGGAGGACGCCACGGTCTTGTGCCAGCGCATGCACAGAGTACACCGAAATCGCTCGTTGTTCAGAGGAAGGAAGTGTCACAGCTGTCTAAGAATATAAGGAATTAACGTGACTCGCCTCTCCTCTCTTGGATCGCGGCACCACGGTCTTCGCTGGCGGTCAGCAAACGCGACTGCCTGCGGTGCCGCATCTGCAGCTAACAACACTCTCTGGCTTGAGGCAGGAACCTCTTCACGTCCTCGTCGACGTCGCAGAAGTAAGTCCACATGATTGAGAAAGTGAATATAGGACCCTACCGCTGTCGTCTCGCCACCGGCGCTAACGCAGAGGGGCTTTGGAGGACCCGCTGAACGTCAGTCATTCAAGAACCCTATTTTAGGTCAAGGCTCCACGACCTGAGGGACATCAGCTGGCCGCAGCCAACTTGCTCCTGCCACAACGGGCACCTTGCAGTGGGTTTCGCGCTGTCGCACGGCAGGCCAAACGAACCTGCCAGTGACTATAGTGGTGGCCCAGATAGCGGAATATCCTCTTGGCGCCAGTCTGAGTACATTTTAGAAAGCATACGCTCGTCAGGGCACTGGTACCTGTTAAAGTTTGTCACACTTTCCCCGTCTCTTTCTCTTCTCCAAGATGGCTACGCGGCCCCGAGACTAGTAAGTGTATTCAGAATACACTGTGCCATTTCCGTTCCGTTAAACTTACTCCGCGTAGATCTCGAGCAAGGTTAGGGCCGGGGATTAGGCTTTTGCCATCAGTGGCGGGTTACGTGCAGCGACTACCTCTTCAAGCTGGTGTTGATTGGCGATTCCGGCGTAGGAAAATCCTGCCTCCTCCTTCGTTTTTCGGTGAGAGCATATTTGTCAGCGTGTGAGCGCGCATTCGTTGTAAGGTCTTGCTAAGACCTTTGAGTTGAGCATGAAGGGACACTTATTTGTGTGTCCGCTTCCAGGATGATGCCTTCACCGAGAGCTATATCACTACTATTGGCGTCGATTTCGTACGCCAACCCGACAGTAGCTGATGGGACTTGGGCTCGCACAGATGGATTAGCTAGAGTAGCTATTTACTTGCGAAGGATGCCGTCGCTTAGGGTTGCAAGGAGGCGGCGGGGAACTGCCTTGTAGTGCTTTTCCTCTGTCTGTGTAGTATTGTAGCTGCTGTTGGTGCCTTGTGAATGAATGCAGAGGTTCCGAACTGTCAATGTTGGTGGGAAAGTAGTGAAGCTGCAAATTGTAAGCGGAAGCTGCCTTACCATGGCTTCAGCATGGACAGGCTTCTGGTGAATAGTGGTGCCTGCCCACAACCGGTGAGCATTGAAATTAGCTCATGCGCTTCTGTGTGGCTTTTCTCAGTGGGACACTGCAGGCCAAGAACGCTTCAGAACGATTACGAGCGCTTACTATCGCGGTGCTGACGGTATTGTGGTCGTATACGACGTCACAGAACCCGAGTCATTTGCTCATGTTGATGACTGGCTGGCGGAAGTTAACCGGTGAGTTGAAATGCTTTTTCTTGGGTAGCTGGCCTGCTTAGGTGGGTAACCAGGCTTAGTTTACCCCATCGTTCTGATACAGGTTGGACATGCGCACTTCCACGTGGTGGTGTTTGATTTACTTGCTAGGTATGCGACTGAAAACACTGTTAAGATTCTTGTCGGCAACAAAAGCGAGAAGGACAGTGACCGCGCTGTGGCTACAGATGACGCTAGGGTGAGTTGCACGGGGAATGCCTTCTGACATGTTTGCTAGATAAGAGAACGCGCTTTTCAGCCTAGGACAAGCCACAGATGAATAGAGACGCATGTCTTGGGTTTTACAGCGAAAGGCAGAAGACCTTGGAATTTCGTTCATTGAGACATCAGCGAAGGAGGCGATTAATGTTGACCTGGTGAGCTGGATTTGGACTGATAGCGCTTAGGTGGCTCTAGGATACGCACTGTTGCCTCTTGGCCACTGACACTTTTCCACCGTGCGTGTCTATTCAGGCCTTCACAACAGTCGCAAGGGAGCTCATAGCTATCAAGTATGCAACGCCTCCAAAAGCGCGCGTCTCTAAGCCACAAGGAATCTAACCGTCAAAAAACACACGAACTTAAAGTTCACGTATATGTTTGTTTTTCTCCTTTCTTTTTCGCCTGCTTCAGGGAGGCACAGGCAGCCGCGGGTGGGCATCAAAGCCAAGCGGGAGACGAACGCCAGAGATTGGGAGGTAAGAGCTAAATACGTTTAGAAGATGTGGATAACCCTCTTAAATTTGTCACGTTATGCTTTTGCCATCTGCTGTTGCTAGAAGTGTCAACCTTGATGCATTTAGCTTTTGCGTACGATTGCAGCTGCGGATCTTCGTTCGGCATCGCAACGATTTAGCAGCTGCTCGTGCTAGGCGTGACAGAAGCGCTTTTCGTTCTTCGATGTCTCTGTAGCTACCCAAAATGTTCCATCACTATCCCATGCTGGAAGCTGGGTTGCACGTAGGTAGATACAGCCTCCAGCGGATCTCACACCAGTGCGTACTTGAGCAAATCACGGTAGCTGCGTCGTAAGCAAGAAACCAACTCCAGCTGGTTCCAGCGCGTGCCATGGAAAACGTCGAAGAAGCGCAGCTGGGGTGTGGAAAGCTGCCTGCTCCCGGAATGGGAACGCACAGAACAGCGTTGAACAGAAGCACGCTTGCCTGCTCTGTTCAACGGACCGGATCACACAGGTCCTCATTATTTGAGCCTAGCGAAGAGCAATTTCCTGCATATGTTTTTGGGTACTTGCCGTGGATTTCAGAGCATTTGTCCCGCGCAAGTTTGCTCTTTTGTTGGTCCAGAACGCCATGCAAGATGGCAGGCAGACAGATGCGGACTGATTCACGAGTCCGAACATGACTTTTGAACTTATCGCCAGTCGCAGGGCGCTTGGAGTGAATGCGACATTGGGCAGACAGAGCTTTGACGGTTAGACCGGTGGTCTTCTAATCTAGACTCACTACATCGTCAGCACACGAGTATTAAAACATTTTGGCGACGCTGAGGTGTGCTATCTAGGCAAGTCTTCCGCACATTGCTGGTGGTCCGGCTGTTACAGGACGCGCTGCGTCGCAGCACAGCGCGGCAGCCAGTTGTGGGGCAGAAAAGTAGCATGGGAGGGCTAGCAACATGTAGCGCCAACGATAGCGGCTACTTTGAGGGGCTGTATGTGTATGTGTGATTTCCGGCGTTCGAAAACTCGGAGGGTCTAGCCCGCAAACGAAATGCGCGTGGAGACACTGGCGCAAAGAATTGCAATCCTATGGTGCCTGTCACCAGTGCCAGTACGTAAACTTTGATTTTGTCTTTAAAACTTATTCGAAAGCCGATTGGAGATTATTGGGATAAAACGCATGTGTTGTTCGTGCGACAGACCTCGTGCAAGTTGCCCCCGTAAGATAGATCTGGGCTAGCTAAGGTCGGGGGTAAATGGGGCTTCCTTAAAGCGTTTACCCATGATTGAGGCAATAAAAACATGTTGTTGTCAAGAGAAAATTCACCAAGGGCTTTGGCTGCAACATGATTGACCGGTGTAGGTCTTCGACGCCCTTACCTATCCACACCGTCGTTCCTAGCCAGGTGACACCCCTCTTCGAGCAGTCCATGCAGCTGCATGGCGTGGCCCAACAGTATTTAATTTTCCTTTTCTTTCTAGCTTGCCTTTCAAAAGGTGATCAGGTGCATCAGTCACCGTATTTTGCCCTTCCATCTCGCCGATCCACATGCAGGCTCGCCTGCTGGCGAGAGGAGGGTCTCCTCCCACGCCTTCCCCAGGTGAAAATTGCGGGATGCTCGAATCCAAACGAAGCCTGCAAATACTGTGAAGGGAAAACATGAAATGCTTTTTCCACGTTATTTTTCACTTGTTTCGTACACCGGTTGTGACCTGACGAGCCCACTGTGTCTCCAGACAAGCAGCCGTGCGCTGGGACGAAGTCAACGGCAGTGTACAACGTTACCCGACTCTGAGCAGCCTTCCTTCAAAACCTTCAATTTTCTAGAAAATTCCAGTTATTTAGTCTCCCGTTTCCGGCAGGCATGCAGATGGGTTGGGAGGAGTTGTATGGTGTCTTGTGAGTCTGTTATTCAGGTCATCGGAGCAAAGTGCTGTAAAATTCTCATCTGAGAGAAAGCAAGCGGAGACCACCGAAGAGTGTACTGTCTTTGGATGAAGCGCAAAGCCGTTCCTCCTTCTGTTGAAGTGGGTAACCAGCCACTCTAACGCTTCCGTGGGTAAGGCCGTTTTGGAGGAGCTACCTTTGAAAAGTTTTGTCATTGTTGCCAGTCTGAGCTGGTACTGAGAATCAGACTTGTATGCATGCTAGCACTATTGGGGGACTAAGCATCACCTCTCAGCATCACGTACCTGTGACGTAGCACCATGACGAAATCCCCGCGGGCGCCGCTGAAGCGCCCGGAACGCCGCCAACGACTCTTTACCTTGGCACTGTTTGCCGGGGGTATTCTTGGCAGCACAGTAGGAAGCTGTGCAGCTTCTTTTGAGGGCACTAGCCCCGTCGATCCGACGAGACTTTTGCCGAGGCGCCTAGCACCTCAAGAATGCAGGACATATGTCTATACCGAGATCGATCATGAGCCCACGGAAATGTCCGACAGGGGTAGCTGCCCCACAGGTGGTGGAAAACGCGCGTTTCTGCTAGATACTTCACCTGAGGGGGCAGGAGCCCCTGCTCTATTGGAGGTTTCTCCCGTTCAGTCCCAGCAGTATTCCTGCCGCGCGAGTCGTCCATGCAGCCTTGTGGTGGCGGGTTTCGGTCTTCAAGCGGAAGACAGCATAGCTGTGCTGAAAGGCATTGAAGACTGCCCTCCAACTAGCCTTCGCAATGCTCAAATTATCACTAGCACTCGTCACATTACCAGCTCCTCAGCAGCGACTTTCAACTTTCACATCCGGCCACAAAAGGCGAAGACAGAGCTGCCAGTATTTGACTTGGGGCCTATTCAAGGCAGTGCTTTTACCGTTTGCTATGCTCCATATCTTGCGACTCGGGGTGAAGCCCCTTCAGCGAAAGATTATCATTACCGTGCAGGCACTGTCAGTAAGTCCACCACTGAGTTTTTACCTTCGAATGCTTCCGATGTGTCAGACACTTCTGATACTGAAATGAGCAGCATACTGTAGCAACATGAGAAGCGGCATGCAACTATGAAGCTATGTCTTTGTGTGCGCTTTGTAGCCATCCGCGATGAAATGCTCAATTGCGACTTTGAGGAGGGAATGTGCGGGCTGATGTCTTTCGTGATTGATCCCCGCATGAGTTTGGAGTGGCGCCGTCATTCCGGAGCAACGGAAACATCTGGAACTGGCCCATCTGCGGACCACACAATAGGCCGAAGACCAGGAAAGAGAGGGCACTACCTTTACATGGATTCGCCTGGTTACATGCTTGGGGAGAGTGCATCGCTTCTTGCTCCTCCTCAGATCTACCCTAAGGGTCTCTACTGCACCAGAATGTGGTACCATATGTACGGAGAAGACGTTAACTCACTGAGAGTGTACATGCGCACACTTGAAGGGGACGCAGAAGCCCTCGGGGATTGGGGCAAGCCTTATCTCTTGAGGGTGGGTGACCACGGAGACGACTGGCTAGAAGCTGGGTTTGAGTTCAGCTCCGACGGCCACACCGCTCAACAGCTGGTCATTGAGGCACTTGCTGGGTTTAGCGAGAAGGGAGACATTGCAATTGATGACTTGCGGATCGTGTCAGGAAAATGCCCAGAGCAAATTTCACGAGACGTGACGCAACAAGATTATATTTGCGGCGAGGTTCGCCTGCTTACAGGTAACTATGCTGAAGACAAGCAATGGTTTGTTGAAGGTGCAGTATCTTGCGCCGGTAAAGGGTACTCACTAAGCAGCATGCAAGGGCGTTGGGTGCCCTGTTGTGTGCCCCGTTACGGCAGCTACACGGTGGTTCTAAGGGATTCATATGGCGACGGGTGGAACAGGTCAAGATTGGAATTTCGTTTCTTTGGAGATCTCATAACTTTTGGGGAAGACTTCAATGGAACGGAAAAGAAGTATAAGCTTAATATTGGTCTTGTGCAGATTCAGAGAGTCGAGGGCTCTGAGGATCGCATCGGTATCCAGCTTCAGGTTGCACAACCTAGAACTTACGTCTGGTGTGGAGCAGCACAGTCTGGGACTCCTCCCCCAACTGTAGAGATCTTGAAGCGCTATGGTATTCGGTCTCAAAACCCAACAAGCCATGCAGGTGAAGTGCTGCGTATGGAAATAGCCAACAAACCGGGCAGCCGCCGGGTTGTTATGCCAAACACAACCTACAACGTCTACTGCTACGCTGAAGCGTCTACGGCGAACATTCCGGAGCCAGACGGTGGTCATGGAACACACCGTGAGCGCATGGATGATGCGCAAGTCGCTGCTTCCCGAATGGCAGTCACAACTGACAGCACTCCTCCCAATCTCTCTATCCAAGGCACAGAAGCACATTTAAATGAGGTCATCGTTCGATTGACATCTGATGAGCCGTCCACAGTATGGTGTTTAGCAAGAGACGAGAAAAAAGAAGCTGCTGCTGGAGGGGAACCACCCTCCGTAGAGGCTTTGAAGAAAGGGAATAAGATACAGATTTTGCACGGCGAAGAAGGCTCGCCTCAGGCTCTTTCCGTCACGGGGCTCACCCCAGACAACCATTACACAGTGTACTGCTTTGCACAAGATGCAGCACTGCCAAAGGGGAATGGCATCAGTCTTTCCCAAGTCAAGGAATTGTCGTTCTCTGTGAAGACAAAAAGTAAGGTGCCAGAGCTCTCCATCTTGTCGTACAAGGCTTTCCAGAAGGGATTTAGAGTGACTGTCCAGGCGGACACTCCGGCAAAAGTTTGGTGCGGTGCAGCCATGGCTGGCAGCGCCTTCCCAAGCCGTGAAGATGTTCGACGCGTAGGAGCCACTACTGAAATTGAAGATGCTGACCAGAAGACAGAGCTGGAGATTCGCGGTGTTCCCCCAAACACTCGCTACACAATCTACTGCTTCGCTTCGTCTCGTGGTGGAAGCGCCGAAATGACGGACGCTCAGATGTGGGCTAAAGCACTGGAAGTGACCTCATTCGGCCGATTCTGTGACATGCCTGTAGAGCCCGCAGATCTGGAAGTTGCTGATAAGCCCACGCTATTCGACCCATTGACTTCAACAGAAGAGTTCTTGGTTCGTGAATTTATGGGAAGGCAACGCAACCTTAACATTGAAGGAGTGTATCGTATTAACCTCTTCATAGACAAAGAAAAGATAATCGAGCATCTTGACAAAGGCGGTCCAGCTCCTAGAAGGTATGCGCGCGTTCGTGTTGGAACCTGCAAGGATCGGGAGGGAGCTTACAGGCAGTACAAAGTGGGCCCGCTAGACGTGCGCAGCGCCGATCAGATGACACTGGAGCCCGTAGGTGCTGTTGTGCCGACCGACTGTGGCGGTTATAATCCACAAGGTGTCTTTGGACGGCGTCTGCTGGCAGTAGATGAAGAAGAGGAGCTAGCAGAGATCCTACAGGAGTCATTCGGTTTTGGATTCGGCAAATCACGCTGCCAGTTTGAACATAAAAAATCCCATGAAGAGCATCATGAAGGCTGTCTTGAATTTGGGCCAATGCTCTACGAGGAAGGTGATGACAAGAAGATAATCACTATTTGGGCAGGCCTCCGGACGCCCACTGGTGATAAGGTTCCTTTCTACTTCCTGCTTCCCGCGCCAGAAGGTGTAGATGCGCAGGTTCTCCAGAGGCCTGATGACAGGGAAGAGCTGACATTTAAGCTCGACAAAGTAAAAGGCTATTGGTATGATGGTCAACAGTTCTCAACACTCCGCGAGTTTGTGGAAGCGTACAAAACGGGAAAAAACTTCAAAAAGGTGACCCCCGAGATACTCAAAGAGCGACGAAAGATGGAAAAGCAGGAGCAAGAACACAAAATTCAAAAAGAAAGAGCACTGGCCCTTCGCCGCCTTGCTCCTGCATGGCTGGCTCCCAATCCGGAGGGTCGCGTGGGGTTGGAGTACCGTGCAGCTCCCGAGCACATCGAGCCACAAGGAAGGCGCTACACTATCCGCCAGTCTCCTGGTCAGGAGTCTTACACTATTAACTATGCAGGATGGGAGTTCGTTATAAATATGGATCGCGACACAGCTCTTCGTCTGTGGGACATCAAATTCCAGGGTCAACGTGTTGTCTTCGAGATGGGTATGATGGAAGCGTTGGCACATTATTCTGTGGCTGAGCGCAACTGGTACTTCATCGACTCTTGGTATGGTGGCTTGGGGTCCGCATCTCGGCGTCTGCATCCTGGTATTGAGTGTGCAAAAACAGGGCAGCTCTTGTTTGATGGTGGATCTCTCTGCATTTTTGAGAAGGATTTTGCCCGCCCTCTTAGGGCCCACTGGAAGAGTGGTACCCTCCGTGATGGAGCACCCCATATGGCTCTTGTCCTGCGACATATGATTACCGTCAGTAACTACGACTACATCACCGACTACTACTTCCATGTCAGTGGCTGGTTTGAGGCCTCAGTGTCCTTCACTGGAGAGCTATATGCTGGTGTAGAGGTGCCATGGTACTCAGCCCGTCAAAGGCGTCACGGAACACAAGTGAGTGGCTCAATGAGAATGGGCGCCCTTCACGGCCATCTCGCCGTTTGGAAAGTAGACTTTGATCTTACCCCAGACTACCGTAGTAATTCGGTCGTCTTCAGTGAAATCGTGCACGATACCGCGAGGCCAGGCGCCATTAAGCTTGACCAGTGGATTGGGGAGAAAGAGCTTGATGGCTACATTGCGTACAACAGCACGAGGCCCATCCACTACACCATCGTCAATGAAGACCACAATGTCTACGGAAATGTCGGTGGTATGACTGTACTGCCGTACCCAACTGTTGCGGTAAGCCTCTTGCACATGCACTTTGTGCCAATTGTGATCCTGGCTCATACTGTACGAACATTTTCCAGCCGACTCCTGCGCACGCTGGCTGCAGTTCGTCTTTTAAAATGATTTGAATGGCGAAAAGCTCTGGTCAGTGGTGTTTTCGCAGATCCCAAATCCCCAGTTCGAGTTGTATACGGGGCCGTGTGCTTGGGCCAAGTACCGTGTGGCGACGACTGTCAGGCATCCAGACGAATCGGAAGCTACTCTTCCTAGAGACAACAAATACGCTCTCAAACCGGCAGTGTCTCTTGACAGATACCTGAGAGTAAGCAGAGTAGGCGCTAGAGGAAAAAGTGGATAGCCCTCGAACCGTTTCACCCCTGGACAAAGAATGCAAATGCGACGCTGGCGCACAAGGCCGTCGCAAGTCTTTTTCAGCTAGCGCTGTTTCCAGTGTGTCTTCTTGTAGTTGCTAGGCTAGTGTTAGATGTTAGAATGTCACTAAAGTGCTTTCCTGTCTCCAAATTCCCTCAAGAACGGTCCAGTGTTTTTGTGTGATTTGACGCCAGAACAACGAGACTATTCGGAAGGCAGACTTGGTTACTTGGATTTCTAGCGCTGTCTGGCATATTCCTGTCGTCGAAGACATGCCCTTGACTCTAGCTCAAGGGAACACACTGGGTTGGCTAGTTAAGCCTCACAACTATTATATGGAGGACATGAGCATGGATCTCCACAACGCCATCGGTGGTGCAGTTCAAGACCCTGGAACATGCGCACTCATTCGTCAAGAAATGCCAAAATATGGAGACACCCCACAAAATTAAGACTCGAGAATTGCATGTTGCAGTTGCTTTAAGAGTGGCTTTCTGTCACGGTTATTGGAGACAGACTGTGGCATCAACGACTGTCCTATCCAACCTCTGCAAAAGCTCCTTGGATTGTAGTTTTGCCGTGGGTCCTTCTACAACCACAGGTACTTTTGTGATTTAGACGTCTGCATGAGCAAGTTGTGCCGAGCCCATCAGAGGTCGAAATGTCTTTATCTAGTTATGGAGGTTTTATATACGCATCGGCACAAACACTGGGCTGAACCGCTGCCGCCAAGGGAACAGGGGGCAGCAGCCAATTTTATGAGGGCAGCAGCCAATTTTGAGAAGGCAAAAGCCAACTCTATGTGAGGCAGGCAGGATTTTGTACACTTTCCTACTGAAGTGCCTCAGTAGGTTTTTATTTCACTGTTCATATGTGCTGTGATAGCTTTGACGCTGCAACCAGCAACATCCAGGCGCACCGCCGCCTGCTCCGCCTAGATATGGGCAACTCTGCTTGCTTCATGGGTTTAACATTCCGTTGTGGTTCCTACACTCGCAAATATGCAAGCGCTTGCTATCTATTACCAGAGCTGTAGCGTCAGTGCAGTGCCTCTACTCGATACCTAAACTCCAGGAATCAACTCACTGTCCCAGGATTCAGACGCGCAACAGCTCGTCTACTGCCAAGCGAAGAATTCAACTCGGCCAAACAGGAAATCAGCTGCTGCAGTACGTGGCTGAAGCGGACTGACCCGCCAGCGGGAAGCGCCTATGCTTGTGTGTGGTCAAAATACTTCACCAGGGGAACCAAAGTTTGCACTGCTGACACGCTGTGTTTGTGTCATCACTGGCTGACAAAACAGATTAGACTCTGCGTGTTCCTCAAAAAACTTGCCAATGTAGTGTGTCAGATGAATTCGCCTGAAGCTGGGGCTTCGTCACAATACTGCAGTCGCTCCAAAGCAAGATACAGGAATTTCATAATTGTTCTGAGCCGGTGACCAGCACTTACATGCGTGATTTTACGTAATCAGGCCTCCAACAGTGGCCGACGTGAGACAGTCACCGTAAAGGCAAGTATCTCTCTAGCTATATGGTCACCCTGATAAGCAAGCACATAACCAGCTTGGGATGCGCTTCTAAATTCTAGGTGCGGCAATAACAGCAGCCGTCATGGAGAACAGGTATGGTAGTGTCATGTTCAAGTAGTATATGGCTTCTGCGGTTTCCGGTACTTCTGTAAGAAGGTCTATACAGGAATACGGCCTTGATGCAGTTGCAGTTTATGGTGGGGGAATGGTGGTTTTCTTAAAGTTCTCAGTAAAATTCAGTGTGAGGTGCACACTCGTGTTCCTCCAGCTGATTGTATTTCTCCAAGTAACCGTTGGAGTCTGATAGCAAGAAGGCGAATCCGCTCTGCCACAGAGTTCGTCGAATTTCCGCTGTCAATCGTCTGTGAGCTGTCTGCAAGGGGAATTCTTCCACGTCTTCGCGCTTCTTCATACAAAAGGCGTACAACAGTGGGAGCCAGTGCTTCTGCAGCGGCCAGCAGCTTTTCAGCCGTGGCTTCGCTGTCGCTCTGTGTTCGTACTTGCCCTTGAATACCGTTGGAAAAACTCGTTATCTGCACCATCAAGGATGATGGGAAGTGTGCTTGCACTAGAACGGCATCCCGGCGCTCCAGGAGAATTTCTTCGTGGCACTCCTCTCCATACATGGCCTTCTTCTGCCAAAGCTCTGTCGTGTCGCACTGAGCCGCAAGCTCGCTACATAGAGCAGAGGCATCGACCTTGCACTGGCCAGCAGTTCCGGACTCCGTATGAGCACTGGGAGGCTTTCCTGGAGTGAGCAGACCACTGCTCTGTTGAAAAGGCTGAGAAATTAGTGAGGAGAGGTAATATAAGTTTGGAGCGAAATTCAGACAATAAAACCCTCGAGCTCCTGAAAAAGCAGCAGGGATCAGCAGTAGCGGCTCTAGACACTGGCTTGCCGCTGAGGTCATGCCACCTGCAGCACCTGCCACAAGCTGAGGCAGCTGCCTTTTTCCCGAGAAGCATGACAAGGAGCAGCAACAACACTGTTGACTTGCAGTTCCGCGAGCAGTGGAGCACAGCCATAGGTGGTGGAGTAACAGAAGATGCTTGATGCCATGCTGTGACGTGTACATAAACCCTGTTTCTGCCACTGGCGTAAAGAGAGAATCCTCGCGTTCCGCCACGTCATAGCAGGCAGATGGGAAGGCAGCGAATTCCCCACAAAGTGAAAGCTCGGATACTCCAGAATTCCGCAGCAAAACATACGCGCAGTCGGACTGAGCGGCAACTCCCACGGGGCAGTGTGCAACATGACCACTGCCGCGGAATCCACGGCCTGCAGTCAAAAACTTTTCCGCGCCTGTAACGTTTGGGAGAACGAATGCAGCAGAGTGTGGGGCCACCATGTGCGCAGCAAGGGTCACTAAGCCAAGAAAACAGCGCACCGCAGACACTGTGACGCCGTCGGAAGCCTTACTGCTGCTGCTGCTGCAGGCAAACGCCTCCAGGAATTCGAGTTGGTCTTTTATCGGCAGCCAAGAGCAAGCGTGGGAGAAAGCCGCCACCTCAGCTGCCAGATGGTCTTCACCTTTGACAGGTTTAATGTTTGCCTTTTCCGCTCCTGGAAGTTGTCTGCAAGGTGGCACTCCGGCACCTGCTGCATTATCTTGTTCTACGGGAAGGACAAACCTGTTTTCGCCGAATTTGTCGCCCTCATTCAGCAACATTTTGCGTTTTTCATGGAGAATTTCCAAGGGTGCAGCGCCGGAAATCACCAGATGCACCACGACATGTGCAGGAAGAAGACACAATTGCCTCCTTAACTGCCTGAATTCTTCTTCCTTCTGAAGCTCGAAATGCTGACGACGCCGACTACGCAACTCAGCTGTTGGCAGGGAGGCAACATCTTCTCCGTTAAGTGAATCTTGCACTAGTTGGCAATCCTTGCGAAGCTCCAAAAATGCAACAAGAGCTTCTGCTGCGGTACCCCAAACAGCGAATGGAACAGCTCGGGCTGCTGCAGCTGCTGCAACCAGTGTTGCTGACTGTGACTCGGCCAGCCCTTCTGCATAGTATCTTTGTGGCGTTGCTGCAGATGAAGCTGCTGGCCGCTGGCTAGAATTCATGACAGCTGTATTAGTTAAGAGCGGTATGACCCACAGTAGCATGAGCTGCTGGAGCTCTCTAAAGAAACACAGCTTATACGAAACAGACGGAAATACGTACAAGGGGGTCTCGCTTTCAACAAGAGAAAAACGCCTTCGCTTCTGCTGTCGTTGCTGCTGCTGCAGCTCCCACCGCTTGCGCTGCTGCGTTTCTCTACCACTGCAGCACACGCTCCGGCGAGCGCTCTGGAAAATCCGGCGAAGAGCATTCAGGGCGCTGCACCATAGAAAAGGCTCCCGCGAGGGCGGCATTAGCCCCCGAAGCAGGACAGATCCTACCAACGATGTAACATCCCTGGGGCTCAGTGACCCAGCCGCAGCTGGCAACAGCGCAAAGAAGTAGCACGTCATAGCAGAGGTGAATCGGCGTTGGCTGTGGCAGTGCTGCTGCTGCTGCTGACACTGTGCAGAAGCAGCTGCGACGCCGAAGCCTGCATAGGCGAATCGTATAAACAGGGCAGCGAGCTGGGGTAGACGGTCGCAGTGTCTGCAGCAAAACCTCAGGACACCCAGTTGAAGAGAAGAGCACGACTGCAGCTGCCGCAGCAGTTGATGAAATCTGGAGTGCGACTCCGTCTTTGCATTATCAGGGCTAGCACCAGCTGTCTGTTGCTGCCGCAAACCGCCACCCTTAGAGGCAGCTAGCTCGGAAAGAGAGGCAACGGTGGCTTCCAACGAGCGGGAAAAAAGCAGAGCTAGCCTTCTACTCAGCTGTAGTTCCGAAAAGGCTGGAATTCCACGATACGACAGAGCCTCTAGCAAGCATGTACAGTGAGGCACGGGCAGCCCACTAGCCCCGCTAGCTTCCCTTTGGCATCCCCTGCTTCCGAGCAGACCAATCCAGCCGAAAGCCTCTCCAACATCATTCGCTGCTGCCTCTTCGTGTCTCTGAAGTTCAGAAAGTTCCTGGAAAGCTGAGAACTCCACATTTGCAGCAGCGCTCTTCGGTGCAGGAGTGCCGCCAACAGTGTCTGGCAAGCACGCTCCACTAGAGGAAATCCCCTCAGGGAACAAGAGCTCCTGCCCCTCCCGTATCTGCAACAAGTGTTGAAGAGCTAGACGTGTCAAGCTCTTCTCAGGTAAGCTAGCCAAGGAGCCCTCTGCTGTGTGGCTCGTGAGCTGCATGTATAGCAGACTCAGCACCATACTCCCCGCTAAGTCGGGAAATCTGTTCTTCTGCCCTCTTGCTGGCTGTGATGCGTGAGTGTTTCCGAATGAGACAACAGAAGCGTTCGCAGAATTTCCAGAGAGCCAATTGATCAGACGATCCAACGCAGCACCGAACGCATCCTGCTGTTTCCCCTGCTGGTGGCGCATTTGCTGCTGCCACTCCTGAGGATGCTGATTGGTGGTGTTGCCCTGTGACATGTCCGGGCCGCACAACGCAAAGGAAGGCCAAGTAAGGCTCGATGCTCCAGCACTTCTCTGTGCTGCTGCAGCATGAGTAGGCGGCTGCAACACAAATGGGGCGCCTATAAGGGCTGCGGCAGTAAAGGCCCTGGAGAGCTGGGAGACAGCCCCCACTGCTGGTGTTGCCAGTGCCCGCAGCACAACATCTTCGAAATGCAAGAGTAAGCGCTGCAGCTCTGTAACCTGCTGCTGAATGCGTCCTGATCGTTTCCGCCGTGGCCGCTGCAGCAGCAGCAATAGTGGAAGCAAGGATTGGGTCAAGTGAGCCAGACCAGCAAACGCCAGAGTTGAAGGGTCCGGCAGCGCTTGCCCCAGAAACTCCTCAAGCCTCTGCATAAAGTACAGGGCTTCATCTAGAGGCAAAACTCCGGCCTCTACAACGATTGGTAGCAAGCTCCCTAGGGCAAGCAGGGCGTTCCACTGCGAGCTTTGGGGCCCTGCACATGAAAGGGCTACCCTCTCTAAGACCTTGTAAAGCTCAAGCAATTGCGCGTAGAAATATGTCGGGTCTGGAGTCTGCAGGTGAGTGACCCGAGAGACTTCCGCTATTGCAACAGCCAGCGCTGCCGTCACACCAACATACTTGCCGTCTGCTGAAGAAGCTGGTGTTGCTGATTCGCAGCTCGATGACAGCTCTGTAAAGATACCCAATGCAGCCATGAGAGCCCTTAAACAAGAGCCCAGAAGTACAGGGTCCCCCGAATGTAGCTGTGCATGGGCCGCCAAGAAGATGCATCGAGCAGCACAACGCAAATCGTTGCCAGCCTCTGTTCCAGTCCCGCAAAGGCACTGCTGAATTTCAGTGGCGCTTGGTTGAGCGCCAGTCTGACCGCGAAAACCCTGCAACAAAGTGGAAAATACCTCAGCTCCGTCCTCCCCCTCTGGAAACTCCGTCCACAGCTCGGATACATCTGCTGAGGTTGCGTGGACGGGTGCTAAAGCAAGGAGCAAACAGCTGGAGAGCCTGAGCACCAAAGAAAAGCAATTAGCGAGAGACCTTTGTGGTGAAAGAAAAACGGATTGCTGTGCACGCCGTCACATGATAACTACGGCGGAGCACTCTGCTACCAGCGCTGCTGGCTTGAACGGATGCAACACAAGCCGCACCTCGAGAACTGACAAGGCTAGTTTGAGATGGCCATGACGCATGCACTTCGATAGCACACTGCTGTCCTTGTATACGGAATATCCGTACACACTACGGCCACAGCTGCCTTTAATATAATAACACGCTTCACTCTGCCCCGTGCAAAGCTGCCACAAAATTCAGGAACTAGCAGGAAGGCAACCTTCAGGCGCGATAGCAAGGACAGAAACGCGTTAACCGCCAAACAGGCGTCGTTCAGCGGTCTGTCCAGCACACGAAGATGGTTCAAACTTGCATGCAAGCTCACCAGGGTGGCGGCGGTGCAGCAGCAGAGGAGTTGAGCCGCTGGGAGAAAAAGCTGAAAATTGCGGGAATAAGAGCGGGCTGCTGGGCTGTGAGGGCACTAAGGAGGGAAGCAAGCACGGAAAATTCTGAGAGCCTCAGGCCGAACCCTGCACAATGATTGGTGCAGAGCGGGCCCGCTGCAGGGGTGCCCTTAGGTTGCGTGACTCTAGAGTCCATAGCCTGCTGCTCTTCAACCGCTGCTCGTGGCAGCAGCAGCTCCAACTCCTGCAGCAAGTGATGCCCCAGCTGCAGCAGCTCCCCATCAGCCGCAAGAGCAGCGGGCAGCATCGCCGCGAACCTGGCGGCAAGGAAACAGCCGCATGCAAAGAAATCGGCAGGTTGGCATGTGCGCCGCCATCCTGTTAATGAAAAACGCTTTACGTGCTGCTCGACTGTATCGCCGTGGCTTTCAGGGTGATTTCACCACGAAAACGCCCAAATGAAGTGTTACAATGGATTCTCGATAGACTTTAGGACGTCAAAAGAGGAAGCACACGAAGCGCGCTTAAAGGAAAGCGGGAGGACAAGACGAAGGAGAATGTAAAGTACAATGTGCAACCTTGGAAGAAAACTAGAGCCTCGTAGGACCACGCTAGAATATCCACAAAACATCAGCACCCCAAACATATCAGGCTCCCCAGAGAAGCTAAATGAAAAGACGCCTACCTCTGGACGAAAAATTCGCAAACACGAGGAAGCAAACACAACAACAACGGTTCCGTCGTCATGAGGTGCCTTGCGATGTCCCTGATTTCGAAATGTGTGTAAGCCCTCAGCTCTTTCAGATCTGCACGAATGGGGGAATTCGTAGTCGACAAGAATTAAGTAGGCAAAATTTGTTTGGAGACTGGAGCAAAGCCAAGACACATACACTGCCCAGGACTCATTTTGTCTGCAGCTGTACCATAAACAGGATGCTGCAGTCATAGAATAAGTGCGGCCGTGTCAGCTGCATGCACCTCTTCCTTCACTTGTCTTGCAACCCGAGCCTCCTGAAGGTCTTGGACTGGAAAACAGTAGGAGCCGCAGGAGAGCACGCTCGCTGTGAGCATATCCTGAAGTGTCAGATGCATCAACAGAAGCACGTCGCGACAACAGGGTCCCCAGTTTGTGCTGCTGCTGCTGCCTTAGAAGTTCTCCCGGTGTCTGGTTCCCCACACCCCCCCGAGCAATGCGTTCTTTGCTCATTGCAGCAGCCAGGAGAGAAGCAGCGCCACGTATTTCCAGCTGACGCAGCGGCAGATGTAGCACGACCCCCCCTAAGCCTTCGCTACAGGCAAACCGCACTGACGCTCCTTCGCCCGCGGGCGTCCTAAGGATTCCGCCTGAAGCTGCTTCGGCAGATGCAACGTAAAGAGGCCCCAATATGAGAGATGCCGCCTGTAATGCCACAGACCGCGCAAATGGAGAGCCTGCCTCGGCCACTTCTTCCAACAAGAGCAGCTGCTGCTGCAATTGGCTTTCAAGCTCTTGGGGCAGCCCACTTTCTGTCGGTTTGTGTTGCTGCAGTTGATGCACCCGTTCATCCTCATGCTGCTGGTGCTGCTCTATCTGTTCAGCAAGGTCCTGGGAAAGGGCAAATAAAACCAGCACGAAGCCTTCAAGTGCTGCGCGGGGAGCTTGTAGAGTGTTAAATAGAAATTGGCACTTTCGCCGAAGGACTCGCATGATTTTCGGGGTTTCAAGGAAGCGCCGCATGCAAAGGCGACCTAAGGTGCATAGAGTCACGCCGCACGCCCGGCCGAGCAGCCACTGCTGCTGCTGCTGAGACGCGCCCCGCTGCTGTAGCTGCGAAGGGCAAACTCCATAAGAGGCAACCAGCTGTTCCATTGCAGGGAGAAATTGCAGCAACGCCCGCGGGCATACGGCTTCCAGCTGCTGCAGACAAAACGCCAGTAGCAGTTGCTGCAGCGGTGTGGCATCCTGAGGTAGGATAAAAGGCACGGAGACTGCAGCGTCTGTATCGTGCACTACAACTGCTTCTCCACCTGCTTTACCCGGGGACACCACCGGCTGCTGGTGCTCTCTGGTGTCTCCCTGGCTCTGCTCCGCTTCTGCTGCAGGCGCTGCAGCAGTGAGCTTCGAATACGGCAGTTCGTCGAAGGCCGCAAGACGCGAAAGGCTCCGCATCAAGAGAAACCACATTCCATTTGTTGACAGCAAACGGTGAGACGGGACTACTTCCATGCAGCTCGCCAACTCCCCCAGGGGATCAGTGCTACACCAGCAACACAAGCTACAGCAGCAGCAGCGGATGCACGGGACCACAGCTGCTGCATTATTTAGAGCCTGTCGGCTACTAAAGCAGCAAATTTTGTCATGCTTGCCTGAAGGCCCCAAAATGTTCGTGGATTTGCACAGCCACTGATCAGAACTCAGCGGTCGCTGTCCCTGCATCGTTCCTTTGTGGATCTTCTGCCCCTGTTGCTTCTGTACGGGCAGCAAGTCAAATAGTGCTCTGTAAACCGGAAGGACTGCCGTTTTGTGGAGACCGAGAGAGGCAAGCGCCTGTAGAGACAGAGCAAACGTTTTGCTGAGGCTTTGCAGTAGCTGGCGCCGTTCGGCTGTTACAGACGGCAGCTCAGCCGCGCTGGGAGCTAACAGGGCTGAACCAGCAGCCGCCAGAGCCTCGGCAGCAAATTCTGCATGTCCATCAAAAAGGATGAATTCGTCTGGCAGTAGCGGGCTTGGTCGCGGCTGCTGCTCCCGAGGCCAATGTTTCCCCTGAATTTTCCATCGTAGCAGGGTCCGCACTATAGGGGATGTGGGCAGTCTCAACGCAGCAAAGTGCAGTGCAGGCAGAAGCTGCAGAGCAGCTGCAGGTGCTGCAGCCACTAGTGCCCCGATTGCGGCGAAAGCCTGCTGTCGGTCCGCCAAGGACTCTGCGAGAAAGCAGCAAGCGAGCACGTAGGTGTAGGGCCCTTGCTGCAGCAAAGCACTTGGTAAAGATAGTAGAAATGGTGTGCTGTGGATGTCTTCGCTGTAATCCCTGTCAAGCATCATGTGCAGCAGCAACTGCCGCTGGCCGGCTGTTGCTCCAGCTTGACTGCCAGCAGCAGCTTGAGCCACCTCAAGCTGCAGCTTGTTCTTCAGGTGCGGCCGAGTTGCTGCAGCAAAGACTTCTGCGCCCAGCAGCTGCTCTGCTGCGCCCCTGTCGAGAACGCGAAAAGACCACAGCGCAAGTGAGAGAGGCATAGCAGCCGCTGCATCACTGGATAGCGGCACTGCGCCTGCTAGGCCAAAAAGCTCCGTCACATCGAATGACAGCCCACAGGCCCTACTGCAACTGCAGTGCTCTTCTTCACCCGCAGGCGTTCCTGTAGCAGCGACTGCATCTGCAGCAGCGGCTGCTGCTGCGCAAGACAGCAGCGCACGTAGCCGGGTGCAGGTCTGTTGCAGGGCGTCGGTCAGCTGTTGTCTGAGGAGAGCCCCTCCAGCTCCACCACCGAGTTGCTGCTGTGTAACCAGTGGCACCAGCAGCTGTACGAGTGGTGAGAAGCAGCAGATGCATCGTAAGGCCTCTGCAGTGCAGAGGCAAGACGCGCAGCATTCACTGGTCCTTCTAGCGATGCAGCTCTCGCTGCTATCGTCAGGTGCACGTACGAACTGCGGTTGCAGCTGCAACATACGGTGAGTGGCCTGCAGCAGCAAAGAGAGCTCTCCCGAGTTTGCTTCGTTTGCTGCGGTGCTCCACAGCAGCCAGCCAACCAACGCACAGGTGACTCGCCAGAGTCCCAATGAAAGGCAGGTTCTACTGTAGTTGCTGCTGTTGCTGTCACCGCTGCTGCCGCCCGAAGAAAACGCAGCAGCCGCAGAGATCGGAGTCCTTAAGGGAGAGAAGAGGTTGAGGCAGCGCAGCAGCTGCCGCAGCAGGGCCGTCACGTTTTGCAGCTGCTCTCGAGCCGTGTAGAGACCGCAAACACACTCCCACAGCAGGCGATCTGCACGTGCCTGCTGCTGCTGCTGCAGCATCAACCACTCCCCGGTGCCACTGACCTTGGTCTCACTCTGGAATGCAGCAATCATTGTAGAAGACATCTCAGCGCTCCTCAAGGCAGCAGATACACAACAGGAAAACTCCTCAGTGTCTCTCACTCTCGTCAGTGCAGACAAGCTCAGGTGCAGCAGTCTGTCGCTCACCATGCTCTGGTTCTGTTGTCCGGGCTGGTGCTGCTGCTGCTGTGCATGCTGCTGTTTTGCAGCCTCCTGCATCTCTGCTTTCCCCACAACCTCTACACAGCGCAGAAGACGATTAACTGCAAGGGGAAGCAGGGAGCAAGTTGTGAGGCTGCTGCTGCTGCAGCTGAGGAGCAGCTGCAGGGATGTCAGTAAAGTTGGCTCGAGCAGAGTTGTGAACGTCATAAAAGGGACGCTTTGCAGCGTCCTGCCACTGTTGCTGCTGCTCTCATCGCCGTTGCCGCTACTTCTTTCTGCTGCTTCTTCCAGGACGCAAGACACAGCCTCCACAGCGGCGAGGCACACACGAGGACAGAAGTGGCTTATCCGGATGAGTGTATCACGGAGAACGGCTGCTGCTTGCTGTAATCGCACCAGTAGTTGCTGCTGGTATTGCTGGTGCGATGCAGGCACCAGCTTATCTTGAAGCGCCAGCTTTAGGAATCGCTGCACAAGCAAAAGCTGCATTTGCGGTGGTAGCAGTTCCTCTCTGCTGGCTTTGTTTCTGTCTCCGTTGTTCCTGTTACTGATAGTAAGCGCCGTTCGGTTGGTCTCTGCAGCAGCAAGCCTCGCATGCAGTAAATCAATCAACTGCTGAGGTCCTATGGCCCCATCAGCAATAAGATCTGTGAGGCAGATAAGAGCCTCACTGCGGCAGGCACTCCGTAGCTGCTCCTCTGCCGCGGCAGCCGCTGCAGCAGCAGCGGGCTGAACAGCGGCTGCTGCTGCAGGTGGCTGGAGAAATGCCGCACAGGGTAATTGGTGCTCCCTATTGAAAGCGACAGCCATAGCGGCAGCATTCTCTCCCTCAGATTCAGCCACCGAGAGGGTCCCGTGCTCGAGAGCGAGCAGTAGCAGCTCTAGGGCGACCTGGCGCTCTTTGTGAAGATGGGTGAATTGCAGCAGCAGTGATTTGAGTTTGTGTAGACCACTGCACCGCACATGAGCACTGGGAGCCTCCAGGGTCTTCACCGCCTTCTTCGCCTGCAGTGCGAAGGGACCATGACGCGCTGCTGCAAGGAGAGCCGCAGTGCGGCACGAGAGGGAGCTGCTGCCCCAGGAGGCCCCTCCAGCGCCCTGAGTGCCGTGCGGCATTCTAATGTGGGGCAGTGGTACTGCGAGCTGCTGCTGCTCGTCCCCTTGCTCGCCAGAATGGCACGGGCAGGTTAGATAACCACTGTGCGCCCAGATACGGGTGCGTGGAACGGCACCTAAGTAGCATGACGCCGCAGGTTTTACAGCGCTACAGCATGACAAGTGCTACTGCTGCAGTGTACCACATAACCAGCCAGGAGAGGACCCGATGAGGCATGCTGCAGCCGGTCAACGGACGAGGATTCAGGGGAAGCTCACTACAGCTTTTACCGTACGCAGGGATTCGCACGTTCTGGTGGAAAGGCGGAAGCGCAGAAGAACAAATAAAAGCATGAATACTCGCAAACAAGACTTGGACACCCTGGGACTATAACTGAAGAGCGGGGCCTCACGGCCGACACATGCTAACGTCTCTTCATTTGTGAACTTGGGGATGTTTTACAATGGCCAGCAGGGAGTTGATGAGAACAAACTGCTAAAATTGACTGATAATATAGCAATATTAAATACTGATTGAGTAAATAGTGCCACAAGGCACAGTAATATCCTTCGAAACACACAAGTTATCAAGGACATGCTGTGGGCCTCTGTCTTCAAGCGATTTGTAGCTGTATGCTTCTCTGCCAGATGTCCTGTGGCCTCTCTAATGCAGTCTATCCTGTTCTTACAATCAAGCCTTCTAGAGATCCTATTTGAAAGGGATGGTCCTACTTGGAAGGGATGGTGCTAGGGGCTGCCTCTAACGTACATGCTTAGTCAAACTGTCCAATGTGCGTGACTTTGCGTGTACCGACTGCGTGGCTGTATGCCCAGCTTGGGGAGCAACAGATAAGCTAAATGTGAATTCTGCTTGGCTGCACGGTACAGACATGGAAGACCACTGCGGAGGCTTTGAGTGCCCCGCCACAGTGCGAAAGCAACGTGGCGGAACAACGCTGCAACTGGGAGAATAAAATCCTCTGCCGCATATAAAGGTACAATATATGTGTCTGGAATGTTGGGACTGGTGTACTACCGCTTATTCCTTCCTTGAAAACGCGATGAATAAATGGTAAGGATAAGTGAGTGACAGAAATGGAAAAATTTCGATAAGGCCGCAACGAAAGGCAAAGACGCTCTTTGAGCCTCGTTGGACGGCTGGAGTAGCCTCTACTGAGACTCTCCTTGCTCCTAGATCCCTCTAAATCTGCATGGGCGTCCCTAATAGGACAACCCTGGCGCATGATCTACATGCTGGACGTATTGTATCCCGCGAAGCAGATGCAGACAAATCTAACAAACTAAAGAGACAAAAGTCGCGTGGGAGGAGAGGCAGTAGGGTTGTTAGTATTTCCTCTCCCGTTGCCCCCGTCTCCTTCAATTGGCCCCTACGCGTCTTGGGGGATAAGAGGGCGCTGGATGTCCGACCTCGAGCTCTCAGACAGCTGCTGCCTTTCAGCTGCGCGGCTTCTTTCTCTGTGGTGGGCCTCCCAGCGTCGGAGCACGAATGCGACGAAAAACAAAGCACAAAGAAGCACAACAGCTCCAATTCCCAAGAGCGTGAGGTTCGTGTTTGGGGCGCTGTTGAGCTCGGGCGTATCAGCTGCAGCCTCTGTGCCTTTATCCCGTTGTGAGGCATCCTCTACTTTATCATCCGTATCTCTTTGCCCGGTGATGGCGTTTCGCCACTTTCGCCATTCCCAGCCCGTGATTAAAGAGGGAGGGCGTGGACTGTCTTCCGCTTCGGTGACTTGCTGCGTTTTTGTGTTTCCAAAAAGAGACTCTAATAAACCATTACTGGGTGGTACTGTTGTAGTGGTAGTCGTTGTGTCTCCCCGTGAAAAAAACCAAGATAGACCGGAAGATTCAATCTTATTTTGAAGATCCTGAGGAGGCTCCTCTTTGTTCTGCATGCGCTTCATAAAAGAGCCCCACGAATATTGTGCGGATTTGCGATTGATTTCAGGGTTGGTGGAAGTAGTGGTAGTAGTCGTAGTTGTTGTTGTGGTCGTGGTGGTTGAGCGGAACTGCTCTGCAGGAGGGGTGCCAGCCACAACCTTACCTGAGCTGTCAAGACAGCCAGGGAGAGTTGTATCAAGCCACTTGGACTTGCAGGAAGCGTGGCAGGACCGTTTGTTGCTGTAGTCGTAGGAAGAGAGACCATGAGGCAGTTCGTCATGCGTTTCTGCAGCATCTGTCTCTTTGGGCGCCTCCCCGTTGCATTGTCGGATGCAATCTCTGAAAGGAGGAATGGGATCACAGTCCAGTGGCGGTCCCTCCTTGTACACTGCAGGAAGGAAGTCTTTAGCCTCAGTTTCGGGCTCCTCTGCTCCTTGGAGCTCAGCATTTTCTAGCTCAGCCTCAGCTTTCGGCAGAACGCTGCTGCCGAGCCACGCGGCACTGTCAGTTGGCCTCAGGTTAGCTTTAGCTTCTGAGGGAGGGAAAGTGGGAAAAGACGTATCTCTTCCTTCTTTCGTGCTATCCGTTGCGGCTGTCTCGGTGCTGGCCGCCTCTTTGAGGGCAGTCTCTGTCATTTTTTCCGCGGGAGCGCCGAAGCCCAGGAGCCTCTTAGTCGCGTCGAGGATAGAATTGTTGTTGCTTTTCTCCGTTGCGCAGTCACACGGAGCCTCTTGTGCTGTTTCAGCATCGGAAGAGCAATCACAGTTTCGCATTGGTGATGCTTCTTGTGTCTCCGTCTGGGGATTTTGCTCTTTGGAGTTTGCCCAAGGCAAGAGAGCGCCAAGCAAAGGTTTAGATGCGTTGGTGCTCAATATTTCGATCACTGCGTCGGCTTTATTGACTCCGCGCTGTGCACCGGAGGAGACCATGTCTGCTGTGCCTTGCAATGTTTCCGCCGCGGTCGAAGCACTGCTAGCTGCTTCTTCGAGACGCTCAGCAGCATTCTTCGCTGCGCTCGAGGCGTTTTCTGCTGCCTCTTTGACTTTGTCTGACCCTGTATGCAGCATCCCGCTAATGGCATCTCCCCAGGAGGCCAGAGCAGTTTTGGCTGCCTCGGCAGCGCTCTGCACTGTCTTGACTGCCTCTCCAGCTCTATGGGATGTTTCACGAGCAACTTTAATAGCGGATTCCGCAGCTTCCTCTGACCGCGATTGCACTTCATGTCCTAAAACTTCGAGAGTGTGTTTAGCCTCTCGGGCTGCTGTGTTGGCTTTCTCTGCGGCGTCAACTGCTGCCCGACGCGCTTTTTCAGCCGCCACAGCGGCCTTTGCAGCAGTCCTGGAAGCAGATTGAAGCGTCTCGTTTGAGTTGCTTTGCACCTCCTCACGGACACGGTCGGCCCAGGCAAGAACGGCAGACTTGGCGTCTTGGGCAGCAGATGACAGATCCCTAGCTGCTTCACCGGCGGCAGACGTGGCCTTCCTCGCTGCCTCATACGCTGCATCTGCTGCAACTGGGGCATTTTGTTGCAGAAGCGCACCCAGGGCGTAAAGGCCCTTCTTGGCTTCCCGTGCTGCTCCTGATGCTGCCTCTGCTGCGTCGTGGGTGACCTGTCGCGCTGCCTCTGCAGCTTGATGTGAGGTTTCCCCATCCCACCAGCCCCACGCTGTTTTGCGTGCCTCCTGTACTCCGGAAGTAGCCTCCTCGATACCCTGGTGGGAGGCCTCCGCCGCTTGTCCTGCTACGTCGTTTGTCACGCCCGTGGCGGAGGTTGCGGCCTGCCGCAGTACACGAGCCACGCCTGTAGATGAAAAAAGATCGGAGCTCGCCTCAGTAGAGTTAAGGCTTTCTGGAGTGTCACGCGATGAATGACCGCCGAAGAAGCCGCCGCCGAACAAAGCGGCAGCGGCGACATCCCCACCGGCCGAAGGTCTACTAGATGGAGGAGCTTCTTCCCGGCGAAGGAAGAAGTCTGTGAAAGAAAAAGAGTCGGCTTGCAGAGGGCAGCTTTGTAGAGCCAGCAAAATGCCGAATAGAACGGCAGCGCCGCCGCGCCAGTTGAGTCTGGCTGTCATGGCGAAGTGTCCAAAGAGTTAGCCCGCGCGGCTTCAAACTAGCTATGCTTCTCCCCAATACACTTCAGCTGTAGTAAAAGTAAAAAAGGAGAACGGATGCTAGGCTACGGGACACTGGAAATCATGCGACAGAGCTTTTACTGCGCCTCTGTCGGTGGCGGCACTCGATAGAAACAGCTCTCCTGTTGGCGACAAGGGTGTCGCCGCGGTTCTAAGGCCAAACAGAATCTCAAAATTGCCATTTAAAAAAGCACACGTGGTTTACTGTAGAATGTGTAAACTTGTCCAGTCCGCTACTAACTGCAGGCCAGCTAAGGGTTGAAGCTGGTGCGGTCCCTTGACTTAAGCGGCTGGTCGGCGCCGCCCTACCAGTGGCTTTCTCCGGCTTCTGTCTCTTTAAAGGTTCTTTTCAATAATAAGTCTAAATTTCCCCTATTTTCCCAGTACAGTGACTTTTAATTGGCTTCGTGGACACGCCAGGCGTTGGTCGGCGCTTTTTTGGTGCTGAGGTGAAGCGCTATCTGTAGTTACAGTGCACGGCGATCCCGCAGCGGTTATCCGCCCGCACAGAGGCAGACGGAAAAATTGTTTGCAGTACAAGAAATATTTACTCTCCAACATTCTGTTGATGTGCTTATCAAGGTGCAGCAGTGAGCGCCGCCACGAATATACGAAGGGCCTCCTACAAACAATGAAAAACGGCTCTACGCAAAATTTCCGAAACTGATGCAACTCACCAATTGCAAACAAATGTCCTGTTACTTTCATGCCTAAACAAATAAAATGCTGAGGCAGGAAGCGAATTATGGCTTGAAGCTAAGAATACTGACATTCATGGTCCCACGGGCCAGCTTATGGACTCACGGATACATTTGCACGTTAGCGAAGACAGTCGGAAGTCGTACCTTACGCTCCCGAAAACACCATTCGGACAATCTTATACGTCGATCCCATTCAGACGGCCTCGTACGTCAATCCTGATGGTTTCTTTCTTTCTGGCCTGCGACATTATAAATCTGCAAGAGAAGTTAAGCTCCTGCGAAGCATCCTCTATAGTGTTACTAACGATAAAGAAGCATGAGCTTTGGTAGCCTGCATCAAACAAAGCAGAATCACGGATGATACGAATTATGCATAAATGGTGCAAAAAGATATCTAAGGATGGCAGATCCTGCAAATGCCAGCAAGTGGGCGAGATCTATTGGCTGATGATGCGAAAGGACCTTTGGAGAAGGCAGTAGAGAAGCTTAATCAAGAACTAGAGAAGAAACTATAAGGCCTTATTGTGTGGAAGCGTTGTGACAATGGAAACGTCCCACGTAGGGCAAAGTAAGGCTTTTCCCTGTCTGCAGGTGTAGATTGTTTCCTACACCTGCATGGATGGATGACACGAGATGCAGAGTAAATAGCCAACAAGTGAGTGCTGGGGTGTGCTATTTAGCGTGGACTCGACAGCAGATATGCGATTCGAAATAGTTTACCACACTTGTGAAGCCTTCTTAAGTGCTTGTAAATCGCGTAGCAGTGCTAGCCCGATACTTCTAAAGCCGCCACACCCTAAATTGCCGGGGCTCACTGCAGGTTGCGCGTCCAGCGTGCCCAACGGCGAAGTGCTGCATATTGAGCACGTTGTTACAGGAATAATAATGTTGTGCAGTTGTGAATGACCTTCGGTTGGATTCCTATTTGGACCAAATAACTACAATCTGGTCTTGGAAATCAACTGGCGTGTACGACGTAAGGCAGCCTAATCCTTTCAATCTGACAAGCTGAGACCTTATGTGAATGAGACAGCGTGGGGAAGTCGTGGGGCGCACTAGTGAAGGGGAAAAACAGGACGGTACGCCAGGCATGGCACGACCCAAGGCTTCTGCAAAGGAGCCCTACGGCGCATCGTCGAGACAGGTGCTACGTATGGTGGCAGGATGGACGCCGGCTCCCCTACGCCCACATTTTTAGCAATGCAAGCGCTATGTAAGGGCAGAAAAAGCATGCAGAGCGGGGAGTTAGTTCGGCAGTCATGTACAGTTTTTTGATCCTCCAAATAACCCAGAGCAGGGCTAAGCCTTTCAGTAGCTGTCACTGACTCGAACGCCGGGCCCGCCCCTTAGCTCTCTGAAGGCATGCAGGATGTGCTACTGCGTGCACTTTGGTCGCTTAATGAAGCAGTCCTCTAAACACTTGGTCTGCCGGCCCTCTGGGAGTCAATGCATGCTAAAGACGATGACCAGCCAACGTGACCTGACTCCAAGCAAGTGAATACTGTGTATGATGAAATTCTCCAGACAGTAAAAGCCTAAAATATTGGTTAAAAATCTCTACCTATTACGTAGACCACTAGCTGTCTTCAGCTATGCCATGTCGGTCCGTCGCCAAAGCGCTCCTGTCACAGCCCTGCTTTGAAGGTGCTCATCATTTTCCCGACACATTTCGATATCTATTTCGTGACACCAGATCAGCTCAGCTTTCGCAGGAAAAACGTGGCTAATTTGCCAGCAAGTCGTTGGATCTGCCTCTCCCACTCTTGTGTGCGCACCATGGCTGAAAGGCTTGACAAGTACGGTGATTGCATTGGCAAGCGGAAGATGAGCATTATTCTTTGCTGAATATTGCGTGCCTTTGCGACTGCTTTTAAGTTCTGCATAGCACCTGCCTCAACAGAAGTGAACATGGTGAGGGGGAGCTGAATATTTTTCCAAAATAATTGTAGAAACAGGCTTCCATTGAGTTTACGTAGCCAAAGAGGACCAGCGGGAGCGTCTTATTCGCTCGATCGTGCAGTTATTCGGGTACTTGCCATGCCTTTCGGCCCAGATGGTGAGCCAGTTTCTTTCGAAAGCAGCTTCAGTACGTACTTCCAAGCCTTACCAGGAAATTTCCGTGCGGTGCGTATGCATATCACCCACACTTTTAAACGCGCGAAGTGCTTGCATACTACTCAGAAGTCTACCGGCAGGCTTGCCTACGGAGGCAACTTCTAAGTGCCTCCGTGAACATTCATGTTTTGAGGTAGTTCAGCAAGGCAAGCTTACCAGACAGAAACTTGCCTACGTCAGGTATACAATATACGCACAGGGTACAAACCCCGCTGCGGGCACGATACCCAGCAGTAGCTTTTGGCCCAAAGTGCAAGCAGCTCTCGTTGCACGGTGAACTATTGCTGCATGGCGAGACCGGGAATTCTGTGATGCCGAAATCCACTTCGCCGACCTTACTCAGAAGGGCGTGGCCTTCCAGTGGGCAGATGCTCACAGACACCCGGTACAAAACCGAAAATAGCCCTTTATCGAGTACACAATTCAGGCTTTCGAGAATATTGGCCCTTTCATGCTGTACAGTGGTGTCTTCTGCTATGGTATAGGCGCAGTCCTCAAACAGAAAGAAGACTGACTGGATAGGTCCACTGCCAACCGAAGATTTGGGATTTTCAGCAGCACTCACAGGGTCCGGGCAACCTCAGAAGCCTAGCCTTTGCATCCTTTACGTGGAATGCATATTGTATACGTGTTGGATTAAGTTTACGTAGCCTCCCAATGCCGTTTCCGTTGCTTGTTGTGGCGCGCAGCACTACCCGTGGAGCTGGATGCAGCTTCCACCAAGGGAAACGCTGGGGCTGCACAGTAGTCCAGATCTCGAGGAGTCTTTAGTATTACTGTTGAGCTGAAAGCATTATGAAGGCGTCTGAACACACCGTGAGGGCTCGCCTAAACCCGGTCTGCATGAGACATCATAAGAGAAGCATGAAATGAAGCTGCTCTGGAAAGCAAAACTCCCCCTTTTCTCAAAATCAACTGGCTGTTGGCAGCGTTTAAAACTCTTAAAAATCGAAAAATAGGCTTCACACGTGGGGCCCTTGACGCAGAAGATGTGAGCATGTGCCTGCGGAACCTTGGCTGCTGAAGGCTGAAATTTGCAGACGGTACGCTTATATTCCCAGCGAACATCCATGTTATGCTGAATGTGTACATCTCCATTGCCAGGGATAGCTGATCAGCGCAGCATGTGTTTGTGTTGCACAGCAGTGACCGTAGGGAACTTCCTTGCGCACCGCGCCCTATGGGCCATCTTGCCTTGCTCTGAGGCGAGTGTACCCACGTGTTGCCTAAAAGAAAGAACTTTTTATTAACTTAGAGCAACACAAACAAGCAAAGGAATTGCAGCGGCTACAACTCATCGGTTGCAGACCACAAAGCTGATTCTGACTCGATGTAGACCCTGTGGTTGATGAATGAAAACCCTGAAGAAGTAAGACGAGCATGAAAAAAACATGAAACATGAAGCTCGGGCTCTTCGTCGGTATTTGGGGGAGCGGAGTGCGGGAGCCGAGTGTCGTATTCTAAGATGACCAACAGCGAGTCGCGTAGGCTTCTATAACGGCTACGATTTTAAAAAGTGTGACATGCTGTCAGGCATAGTTCTCCTTCGGGAACCCAACTTCGTCTGAAGTGCACGAAGTACTCTTGTAGCCATGAACGGCATCGAGCACGTGCTGCTCTACCGTTTATCACCAACAAGAGCCTGTGTTCCGCAACATCATGTTTTGCTATGCAATTTTGCGTTATGAATGGTGACTATGGCTCGCACTCTAGATCAGGATGTAACGTGAGCTGTAAGAAAGGAGCACGCAAGTTGCCCACCCCATTGCCGTAGTCAATGCACTGCTGCACCCTTAAGTGAGCGCCGTAATTGCTCTGATCTAGGTATGGGACTTAACTGAACAAAAATCGTCAAATCACACGCGTTCAAATATACAGGAACGTCTGAGATTATCGAACCGGTACTCCTCACTCACAGGCGCCACCCTCGGCAGAGGATCAAAGCCAGCCCCATAGCAAAAGCCCATGCCTCACTATGCTTGCTTGAGCACTGGCCAGACCCCACAAATCACGACAGCATAGCGATATGGAGTTTTTCCGACTATTTATAGCGCATAATGTGACTAGTCTGAGCGAGTTATGCGCTCACTGTAGCCCTTAGCACTACTGAACCTCCCCCCAGATCCTTCCCTCCGCGAGTCAGTCAAAAGGCGCCGAATCCCCCACAAATGCGGCGGAGAAAAGAGCTAGAAAACTGGACAATCTAATTGTTCAGAGCCACTAAGAGGGTGTTCTATATCATTATTTGCTGATCTGCCCGCCTATGAGCTGAAGCGGTATTTTCGTCGAACCTGCAGCGTCCTGTCTACCCTTGGCGGTTGGGCAGCCCGATCCGCACTGCAGCACCTGCCGACCTCCAGCCCAAAGAGCTGGTTTGCAGAGCGGCACGCTGCTGCGGCGACTCAAGGCAGTATGATGACGTGCAGTGTAACTGTAAACGCCCACTGTCCTTTGAGGAGTGAAGTATGAGGCCAGACGCAGCCACTTCAATCTCCAGCCCTCTTACGGGCCTATCCGAAATTGGAAGGGAAACTGCAAGAGGCCATACGAAGCGCAGGAACGACCGCGCCAGTCGCCAGGTTGCTCGCCCACTGCAAGTCTCCCGCGCCCTCATACTCCTTATTGTAGCATGCTGCCATGATTGGCTCTGGTGTCAACGGCACCCCACGGATCCTTCAAAAGGGACAAAGAACTCGTCTTCGGCAGTTTATTCATGGGCGGCAGAAGCGTCTACGGTTTTCGACGGCCGTTTCCTTGGACGGAAAATAGCCACGGAGGCACTCCGGCAGTCCCCAGTGCCCCGCACTCCAGAGAAGCAGCCCATGAATGATGATGACTTTCTGGAGGATGAAGAACCCATGGAAATATGGGGAGATATCGATGACAGGAGGTGAGGGATTTTCCGTTGAGAATAGTTCACTCCTCCGCCTCTTCGATTTGCTGCGCGCTACGTTGCTGAGCCTGAGCTAACTGTGTCTTCTGCATTTTCGTTTCTCTGCAGGATGATTCTCTCCGCTGCCCCGTGCCCGTGTGCGGCTGCGCTTCGTCAGGCGTTTAACGCCGCCCTCCGGATTCTTGTTGATCGCGGCGTGCGGAATCAATTGCTGCTAAAATATAGGTTACCTCTTTCTTTTGCTGTGGAGCTTCAAGGGGCTAGCCCCGCATGGCCAAAGCTTAGCGACCTCTATGAACACGACTTACTACGGGAAGTTTTAGAGCGACGCGTCCTGCGAGTGGCGACTGTCGCCGGGGGAGCTTCTCAAGACCCCGCAACATCGTCTTTTAACAGTAGCTTCCTGCGCGAAATCGTAGATGAGATCGATTCGCACTACTCAGAAATTGAAGGACTCTCCGAGTCCACTGGCCGAAGGGGATCTCTGCCTATCCAGATTGAATATGTATATAAGGCGTCCACTGCTGTCGTACTACAGGCGCTGGATGCCGGGCAAGCCCACATGACAGATATCAACATGGTCCTAAGTCACAACCCCTTCAACGGGATCACAATGACATCAAGATACAGCCGGTCAGATCAGGTAATGACACAGTCCACAATTGTCATTGTCAAGAGCGACACAAACATCGCTAGTTTGCGGGCTCTTCGAGACTCAATTTTCCTGTCTTATGATCAAGAGGGTCGCACAGTGGTAGTAGACAGTACGTGGAACCACCAGAGCTTAGCTCGCGTACTCCCCCCTTTTACTATCTATGAACTACTGTCGGACGGCGCACCGGGATCACATTTGATCGATGTACTCATGGATGAGGAGGCACTGGCAGCAACAGCGCAAGTACCATTGCCGTGGATCCACTATGGCCTACGCCAATTCGTTGCAGGAGCAACGTACGCCACAGGGGCGCTATTCCTTATGGACAAACATGGTAGCAAGTGCCCCACTGCAGCAAGCGGAAAGAGGAACCCCGTACGCCCAGCTGCACCGGATAAGCCTGGGGAAGACCCAGCGCTGTCCTCATTAAGGAGAGAACTTACAAAGAAAAGTCTTGGTTTCCAGAGGTCTCAGCAGTTTTACGTGGGTAGTCGGAAATCTTCATGGGAGGGTGTTTATGGAGCCGATACGCCTGGAGGCCCCACAGATGGCGAAGACTCCTACCCTGCCACTCCAGGGCCTTGGAGCACGGAGCCATCGACGCCAGTGGGGGAAATGGAGCTGTTCGACAGCCTACGCGGAGATGCCGGGGAGCCTCTGGCATCTGGCCGGCGATACTTGCGCACCCGTGCACTGCACGATTCGTATAACGCTGCTCTCGTGCAGCTTGTGCATAACTCTGTGCTAGATAATCTTATTGAGGATCTTCAAGAGATAAACATTGTTCCTTTCTTTGACTGTGGCGGGACTGTGCCTGGATCCGTAGCCCGGAGCTTTCCTCCTGCCCACCGAATTCCACCAGATGATGCCCTTATGGACATCTTACGTACCGGCGTGGTGCTCGTGGGAATGCCCATGGGAAGCAAAGAATCGATTTCAAGCCCTGAAGTGCTTTATGCCCAGCGCGCGATGACGGAGGTGGTGGCGGCGATAGGTGCAGAGTATCGTGTGACCCTGCAAACGCGATTCATTCGGTTTCCCAGTGCCCAGCACGTGCTGAGGGCGCTCCACAAGGGGCTGATTCACTTGGCGGATGCTCGAATTTTGTTTGAGTATATCTCCCCTCACGCTCGTCTCGGGTTTAGGGTGAGACCTACGTGTGCGTTGGGTGCTTCACGATTGTGGATGATGACTCAAAACAAAGATGGCATGACATCTCTGGAGGGACTTCATCAGACCTTAGAGAAGATCCCCGATGTCAATGATCGTCGCATCGGTGTCCTTGATCAGTATTTACAGAGCACAGTTGCTAGCGTCTTGCCACCGGGGGTTTTAGTGGTAGAACTAGCAGTGGAAGAAGCAGCAGAAGCGCTGTTGTCTCGCTCTGTCGTGGCTGTTTTTGGAATGGCAACCCAACAGCGGCGGCTGTTGCGTTCTCTCTTGAATGTTGAGAGGAGGCCAACAGACCAGGATAATCATGCGTGGGAAAAAATGCCTCAAGTCGCAACGTTTGATTCGAGGAACGAATTGCGCTGGGGCTCCCCTATTCATACTCCGGGATCCGGGTCTTTCCCTGATGCTTTCCCTGATCGTAGTCGACTCCCGTCTGATCGATTTACCCCAGGAGGCCCAGACTGGACTCCGGAGGACGGACCGGGCTTCCCGTGGCATGTTGCCGCACCACTGCAATACACAAAAGACATCTATCAAGAGCTCATGAAGGCAGAGGGCCTTCCATTAGAAACAAATGAAGCTCCCCAGCAGAACACGCCATCATGGATTGATATTGACACAGGAGTCACCGCTGTCATGCATTCCTTTCTCGCTGCATCTCTGCGTTCACCGCGCACGAGCGGATAAAGGAAACACTTTGTGCAAAGAAAGCATGCGCCGAGGTCTCAAAGTTGTCAATCATCGTCCACCTGAACCATTTGAAGAGAAGACTTGCGCCGCTGAGGGTGACGAGAAAGCCACAAAGGTGCTTCCTCGTCGGTTTTACATGCGTGGCTTCACCTCAGCTGGAGCCAAAGACCAGGGTCTACTGTCCATGAACTTGAAAAAGCCCACTGTAAGGCTGAATTTGGACAGAATCGAGATACATTTTACTCAATTAATGTATTTTAATAAAAAAGTATGCTGGAAGACTGAAGTCTTCGAACCGCCCCATATAAGTTCACGTGTAGAATTATTTTTTGAACGCGTCGTACGAGCAATTATCTTCTGGAGGGGTGGACTCCACCCCAGTGGCATATCCTTCACCAAGTCTGACACGCTTCTCTATGGATTTTTGCGTGCCAGCAGCTCAGGCTGCAGGCAGGCTGCATCAGTTACATCTTAAGCCAGAAACTGATTTGGATTCGAGGTTCTAAGTTAGCTGAGCTGCAGGGTCTGTCAGTTCGCTAGTGATCAGTGTGCACAGGGGGTTTCGACAAAATTAACCCTCTGCGGATGGCCTCGGATAGGCAAGTGACTGAAGCAGTTACACCACGTACACGGATAAGCCGCACGGCTAGTTGCACACGAGGGATGGCGTCAGTAGCTGGCATTTGCTTCTTTAGGCCAGTGGCGAAGGCGGCCTCAGAGAGTGATGCCAGTGCAACTCTACTTCAGCTGACGCTCTGCGTAGTTCCACCGCATCACCAGGAGGCGACAGAGGGACTGACAAAAAGGTAGGCGGCATCATTGGGTTGTGGATGTACCAAAGAGTTCTGCACAGCGGAGAAAAGCTGTGACGGCGGCAGGGATGGAAATTGGCGGGAAGGGGTTGTCATGGGCATTGAGAGACGACGGCTTGTGAGAGAGCTATTTGTGTCCTCCGGTTTTGTACTGATGAGTGGATTTGCAAGCTGGTCCTTAACTTCGTCTGTTGTGGGAGGGACTGATGAACTTGTTCCCTCTCCTACTGCGTGAAGGGCATCTCGCAGGACTGCGTGAGGTGCATTTTCAGCCCCTTTCTCGCCCCAAAGTTCCCACTCCGCCAGACGCGAACCCGACATATGGTCCTCAAAGATAATACTTGCTGCGCCACAGCAGGTGCACTTCGTAGAACTCTACACTTTCCCTGCCATTGCTCAACAAATGCTATTTTTAGGGACAACACCGCTATGACCTCCAGGGCGCTTTAAGTTTACGGCACAGCTGCATCGGCACTGTCTGCTGATGCATGGGTGTAAAACAGTTCATTTTAACTGGATTCAACACAGGCCCACGCAAAGGCGCTCACTGGAGGTGACGATGAGCCTTCGATTTGAGGAAAGAAAGAGCGTAGCGCTGCTCCGGTCCCTGCTGGCCTCCCATCCGATAACATCGTGGCGATATTTGACGGAGAATCCCTCCGAGTCAAATGCCTGCAGGACGGGCGTATTCGGCAGCAAGTGCAGAAGTCGGTTGCCAGGCTTACAAGAATATTGCGTTGTGAACAACAATGTACACTACGGTGCAGCCTTGCACCTAAGGAACAAACGCTTTTGAGCTTTTACACGCATACGTAAAGCCGAAGGAACAAGACAGGGGCTGTGCCGCATACTGTGATCACGACGGAGCGGGGGTTTGCCAGGGCGTCTTCCAGCTTCGTCACGGGGGAAGCCGGCACCACGTGAATGTTCGGTGTCAGAGCTACTCACAAAGAAGACGGATTAAAAGTAGGATGCAAAAGTTCACAAGATATTTCAGAACCCTTGAGCTAAACCGAACGAAGGTGCTCCTTTAACAATCGAAGGCGGCTGCATGGTGCGCTCTGCCTTCCATGGGGTAATCTTACCAAAGCTTGCTGGGAGTGACTCAGGATCCACTGGGGCGTTCGCTCCGATGAAGAACATGAGTGCCACTGTATTCGCAACACATTAGGGAGCCCAACCATGTCCGTTTCTCGGACCACTCATTCAATGGAAAGACCCAAAACAAGCAATGACGGATATGCCCTTGCAGCATCGTAGATAACACTCTATTAATTAATTGGGCACAGATAGAGGACGTACTGGAACATAAGAAGGTGGTTATGAGGTTGGCCAGTATCACAGCACAGCCGTAGCCTCGCACAAGGTGTAGCAGGCGGTCCTCTTTGTCTGCTGCTAGGGCAACCGCCGCAGCTGTTCGCGACTCTGGAGGATAGCGAAAGATGTCGCTTGTCACTGGACTCTCGGACATGTTACGGTTCCCCGCATTGGCATGCGCCACGTAGAACCGCAGAGACTGCAGTTGTAGACAAGACAGGCAGCGAACAGAACCACCAGTCGAAAAGAGTGTAGTCATTTGAGGCACAGTGCACACCGAATATCAAGACGAAATATCTTTTGGAGCATCGAACCTCCTCCAGAGGCACTTCAGGAGGTGAGCTGCACGTGAATATGCCCACTTGCGCTAGTCCTGAGTCTTCAGGATGTTGAAGGTCGGTGGCATCCGCAGTGACCCATTGTGATGGCTTTTCTCGGATCACCGCTGTCTTCTGCGGAGCTTCTGCTTGCATATTTTGAGATCGAGGATCTGCTACTGTGCGGCATGCAGCGCAAAAACAGCTGGCGAGAAGGTCTGGTTCCTGCCTGTGCACTGAGCCTATGGCAAGTCACAAATGTTAAGGGAGCGGGGGTGTTATTGGCAGGCCATCTCTTTAGCTGTCTGTACCCTTTGTAGAATGGAAAAGGTTGATGTGCTAATGGCAATCCATTTCTTTAACTTTGTGCTTCTCCTGCCGAGCGGCATGCAGAAGCTTTTGCGTTGGATGAAACTTCGTGTGGGACGTGGCACGAGCAATGAAAGGCTAGCTGCAATGGAGCGTCCCTTTAGTGAAAAATGGGCAAGAGAAATAAAAAGAAGGAAAAGGGAAGATTCAGATGCAGGTATGTTACTATTATAGGAGGGAACAATGGAACTTCAACAACCAGTGGTCGTGACCATCAGGCATCCTGTGATGGTCGTGCAAGGCAGACTGCCTCTAGGACACCAAGAAAAGCAACATTTGATATTTGAAACAAATTGGCGAATAATAACCATATTTAATGAGACATTTCAATGCCTGGCGAGCGGCCTGCAGAGGACACGAGCCTGGGCCCGTGGCTGACCCCCAACACCATTCTTCGCAGACAACGAGTTGAAGGAGCTGCATGACATACACGAAGTGCACAAGAGACTATCAGGCAAGAAACGATTTAATGCTTTTCGGGAGAGGAAATGCGCCTCCATGGCGTACAATGCGTTCGAGCACGCACGGGGTTCAATTGCACCTCCACAAAGTAAGTGGCCACCTGAAGACTGAATATTTTTATGTAAGCCCAATGCCAAGATTTTTAATTTACAGGCAAAAATCAGAGGTGACAGTTCACTTGCGCATCCCGAAGTTACTGACAGTCCCACGACAAACCGGACCATATGCAAAATACGCTTCGGTTCGTCTTCGAGGCATTTCTACTTCACGGCAAATTGCACTTCAGATTTGTTCCTCTGAGTTTCTGCATCCACAGGGAGTCACCCCCTCAATGTATGTTCGTGGGAAACAACCCTGCTCATCTGCCAGTAAGTAGTACGACACTGCTGTATGCAGCCTCCGCCTCGGTATCCTCAAGTTTTGCACAGAGGGCCAGCAAAATTGCTCTTTCTTCGTCAAGATCAATTAGATGCCCTAAGTATGCATCTACACATTTGGTGTGTCCTTACACAGCGTTTACTTGTCAGGTGACTACCGTCTTGTCTTTGTGTTATTTGCAACAGCAATAGTAAACAATCTTTCCTTCCCAACAATGCCGCAAAGCGACTTGCATTATATCTCGAATTCCCGCCTAATGTACAACTTCGCATCTAAATTTGTTGCTCCAAAGGTAAGCGCAGCGATTACGTGGACTAGTGTATCACGCCAACTCAGGCAGTTTGGCAGTTTGGCATACAGCAACGATTCTGCGCCCAACATGATTCGTGACGGAAAAAGGCAAATAGTGTTTCCGCCAGTAGGCGATACAAAGGGAAATGAAATGCTAGATGCAAGGCCCGCTGCACCGTGCAGCTGCTCTTCTGTGCAGAGCCACTGCACACGCAGTGGCTTCACGAACGCACGGTGGTCAAAATCTCTTCTAGAAGTTCCAGCTCCTGCTTCTCTGGTTTAGGAGAAGGAGATGCATGGCACAGATCGACCTGCAAGGGGCAAACAGTCATAGCCAACATGAAACATCCTAAGTGTCCTGAATCGGAGTCCAAACACCGAATCCGGATAGTCGGACAAGGAGCTTTGGGACAGCTTACCAGGTATCTTCGTTCTTGAGGAGTTAATTTCGCGAAAATATTCGTCGTTAGAAGTCCTTGAGATGAAGAAGTGCACCACGGCTGCCGCAGAACAACCCGGGATAGCAGTACTACGTTAGTGACCCCGCTGAGGGCTCTGACGGCCGCTGGGAGCTCGTTGGCCTCCATCAACGCTTTTACCTCCGCAGAGGCAGCACTCATCCTGCGCAAAATAAAAGATCACGTGCTCCATACACTGTGAGCGCTTTTAGTAGCCCGAGGCGCTCCAGGCCTGCCTAGGAGAAAGCAAGGCGCACCGTCTTGTAATGTGGTCCTTGACGTGCTTTGTGGTAAGAAAGCCTGGCAAATCAAAGAAACTTCGGCTCGTTGAAATATCCTGCACTGCAGCGTTGAATACTTCACAGCGAGCTTTGAAGCTTTTGGCCCGTTTTGCAGCCGTCAAAGCCCGCGACACTATAGAGCCCGCCTCGTACCTGCACCGCAGCACTCGTGAACCAACAGCAGCTGTGGAGCACTTTCAGGCGCGTGCGTTGTTCCAGAGACCAGAAAAGCACTTTAACCTTCTACACTCTACCGCCACAGCTAAAAATGCGAGAGATGATATCCAGGTGTAGCGACGAGGGTGCTTAAGTACCGGAACAGTTCCGATAGTTGCTGAGATTCCGCATGCACCCGGCGGCGCCACTCTGCGATTCCCAGGGCTGACACAGCAGCGGCAATACCTCTGGTGGGACTCCACGGACAGAAAGCTGGAGGCACCACATTGCGCTTCTCTGCCTCTTCAAGAAGCGAATTCCTCCGTTTTGCCTCATGCACAGCGGCCTTGTAAACAAGCTGCAGCGCCAGCTGCAGTCACAGCAAGTGAAGAACACACCGCACTGTGCAATAAGAAACAATACCTCGCCACAGAGTGGACCTTCGCACTGTGGACTGTTAAAGAGGGGAATCACATTGATCCTCTATAGACTGGAAGGCAGGTCAAAGGACAAGTAGGAGCACAGGCCCTAAATGCTCTTACGCATTTTACAAGTTCCCATCGGTCCCCATTTGGCCCCGCTGCTTCCTGCTGTGTTAATCCGTAAGCCGCAATAATTCTTTTTATCTTGTCTCGAGCAGCCTCAAGCGTGGCGTCAACATCACCTTCACAGCTCCGCTGAGCAACATTGTCGCCTTGGAGAAGCCCCACTCTGGGCACTAAAGCTGCAGCGACGGCTCGGGACCCTTCCAAAGAGGCAATCTGCAGACTCCACACGGACTTGGTGTCAAGTGGATGAGTGCTTTACGCATTACCTCCACTAAGCATATGTGATTCTTAGGGCTTAGAATTCTACGAAGTGGGTCTGGGCTCACGTCCAGCAGGCGCAGCCCTTGTTCCTTTGCTGCATCAGTCAAAAGTGTAGGAGCTTCCAGCGGCTGCTCTATTTTTCGACCGGCAGATGGGCTCGAATGTGCAAAAATGGGCCTCGAAAGTTCCGCAGCTTCAGCAAACGCGTGTGCAGACGCTGCCGCTGCTGAAACAAGCAGACGCTGCAGCCCATACAGCGCAGTTGCCGTTTCTTCTGCCTCCCTTTGCTTCAAGTAAACGGGTAACCTTGATACAGCGGTTTCCCAAGAAGAAACACCAAAGGCAGCATTCAGGGCTTCTTCGAGAGCCACTTGGATGGGCGCTACAGGGGGATGCTGGTGTCTGCATACCGTTCGCAAACCAATTCGCTAACAGAATGAGCAGCCGGAAGTTGGCATACATGCAATAGGCGCATGGCTTGAAAAGCACACTTGACGGTGCTGCAATGCGTAAAACTGTAAGAAGATGATAGCACATGCGATAGGGATAGCAGAGCTTAGAGACTGGGTAAGCGATGCCCCAACACGCAGGTTTGTACCTTTTAAAGGCCATTACGAAGCTCTTCACAGGCTCAGCACGGGGTAAAGCCCGTATGGCTGAGAGTACTGGCGACACAGTACAAGTCTCCGCTTCCCCGTGCGAATGATTTTGGTTTCCCGTATCGGCTTTCTTACGAGATGGCGCAGGGAACAGCCCATACTCAGATCCAAACCGTGATAGTGCCTTTAGGGCTCCTAGCAGTTCCGACATCTTGTCTTCTTCCTTCCAGCCTGCTGGCGCTGCTGCGTCTAATTCGTCCCCGGAGGCAGACAAGAAGGTCGGATCCAGTGAAACATCAGACTTTCCTGCGTCTCTACGCTTTTTTGGAACCTGGAGGGCTCCCACAAGCGAAAGAGGGCTGCTTTGTTTTTCTCCGTCAATGGGTGCCGCCGCTGAGCTGCCCGCTGGGTGCGTTGACATCCACGTTTGCAACACTGTCATACCCTCCCTCTGATGGGTGGAAGCACGATTCAGATGTATCCACAGGGGTTCATGAGGGTCATCCGCGTGCGGCCCCAAAGCCGCCTCGTCCGCGTTTCCTTCCTCCACAACAACTGCCAGGGTGGGCGGCAGAGCTGCCAACAGTCGGTGGCTCCTATTTTCGGTCAACGCTCGGCTCTTCCCCGCAGCGCGTAACACCGGAGGCAGAAGCCTCTCCACAGCAAATAAAGCTAAAGCCTCAGCACTCAATTCCTGCCTGTCACCCTGAAAGGACAGATAGCGTCCACAGGAAGTGCCCGCTGACGCAGCGCAGTGGCCAGCGCTCTTAAATACTGCCGCTACCGCCACTGCTTCTGCAAATATTAGAAATAGCAAACAAAAAACGTAAACCTTTTGGTAAGATAAGAATGTGGCCTCCAATCTTTGTGCTGAGACTTGCTTCGGCGAGGTCAATCTTGGAAGCGGCATCGGCCACGACCCGGCGCACCTCCGCTGTCCACTGCCCCTCACTATCAAGCGCCTCCCGCGTGATTGAAATGAACCACTCCTGCAGATGGCCGGAAATGCAGTGACAATTGAGACAGGAAAAAAGAGCTAGAAGCTCCCTGCTCTTTTGCCTGTCTCTATGGAGGATTCGAAGGGTGAAGCTGCCGCTCACACAAAAATGGCGGATCTAAAGGGAATATTTCAGGCCTTGGAGCAGCAACATACTCTGTAAGCATCCAAATGTACTGAGGAGACGTCAGCTGAGGTGAGCCCCAGAAATGCGCGGTAGCCCAGCAGTCTCTGCCTGCGATCTTCCGCTGCTGTTGCCGTAACCGGTGCATCAGCATCTGTCTCCCTGCTAAACTCCTGCCTGTAGACCTCGACAGCCGCAGCCAACGCCTCTCGTGCGTCAAGCAACCCTAGCCTCGCCGCAGTTGGAAACAACGCTTCATCCCTAAAAATACCCAGCGCATGCGCCACAACCATGTTGCAGACAAGCCCTGACGCCGTGTTATAGACCTACCAACATTAGAAACAGGGCATGCTTGCTACAGAGCTATTCCTTCAGCTAATGTCGGGGTGCCGCACATGGACTAGGGTGAGGTGTGTCAGGGTATTTCGACCTAGCCTGAAGTGCGATAGTGTCTGCATCTGCTGAGGAGTTAATCTGTCTCAGTTGAAGCCATCGCTTCCAGCACTCCGGAACGCCTCTGCTTTGGAAACGTTGCCTCGTCTGGCTTGAATCAATCGTGAAACCCAATGCTGTTGACTTTGCACATGCAAGTGCGTTACTCAAAGACTCGCGCAGCTGCGCGAATTTTAGGGCCTTTTCTTGCCTGCGCAGCGGCTCCACACACTAAAGCATAGCGACTGACTGTGTGTGTGGTAAGCTCGCCTTTATCTGGGCCACTCTGCACAAGTAAAGAAGCTTACTTGGCGTCGATACTGTTCAGTTGCTTCCATCTCTCTGTGCAAGCATTTGCTTCAGCAGCAACCGATGGTTCTTGTTGCGTTGGCTGGCGTCTGAGGAGCAGCAATTTTAGCACATACTCGCTCGTTTTTGCCGACAATCTGTCTGGCGTTTGGCTCGCCGCCATAATTGTTGTCTCTTTCCGTGAGTTGACGATTCGTTGCAAAGAGAGCGCTTCCTCGCTTTGGCCCAACTGTAAGCCTAGGGGCCCTCCACCGTCATCCTTAGAAAAATCTAATGTTTGCTGGTGCGCCTCTGCTGCTGCAGTTTCGGGAACCTCCCCCAGCAGCGCATGAGCCCGCAGATATGCCAGTAAGAGCCTTATCAGATGTTTATTTTCACAGGATCTTCTATTGGATTCCGGGGGGACTTCTCGTTGGGGAGACCGTTGCCGCCGCCTGGCCATTGCTGACGTGGCTTTCGGTGATGACGTGCGTGGGGCTGCCACGGAGCAACCAACAAGACGCTCTAACGCCTTCAGCAACACAACAGTTGTAAAAAAAGATTGTGCCAATCATAATACACGAAAAATATGAGTTCTGAACCTAGCGTGGGGCATGGCACCATGCATTCGGGCAGAGACACGACTCTCGGCTGTGCCGCATGCTGCTAAGGGCTTGTAACAATGTAAATCCAGCGGGAACAGAAGCGCAAGTGGTGCACAAACAGAGGCAACATTGGCAGCAGTAGGTGCGGCAGAAAAGGCAAGCTTTCGAGCAAAAACATTGGCAGCAGCTCGTACTCTGTCGAGAGCAAGGAGCTGTTCCGCAGATTGCAGGCAGCCATCTTCGTTGCGCATGGTCGCAAAGACTTCCAGTGAGCGCCGCAGCGGAGCGGCAGCTAAAAAAAAGCCAACTTGCAGGACATTCATGTACTGGTCCACATTGAGGCGTAGGAGATCTCTCACGCCCTCCAAAATTTTCTCTGTAAACTGCTCCGCCTCGAGAACACCCTCCGTTATTGAGCCCTCAAGCGACAGAAGACCTCCCTGCGAAGAGCTTCGAGCCTCTGCATGAGATGCCAGCAATTGAGAAAGCGCGGCGAAAGTCAGCTCGGGCAGCAGTCGTCGTGAGGCCAATACTGCAATTTGGTGCACAGCCTCAGCTTCTGCTTCGGCGCCCATTAGCGCGACAGCAGCGTCCCGCACTGCCTCCACAGTCAGCTGCAAACCTTGAAATATCCTTGTGGCTGCCATCCTTAGTTCCTGCTGGCTCATCTCCACGCCAGATGTTGAGCCAAGAGGTAAGACACACAACTGGGACTCTGCATAGAAGATGAGACGCTGCAGCATCAAAGGCAGAACGCCAACAGCAACTGTTCTTATCTCTGAGCTCTCCACTCCGAGCATTGCAGCAACTTGACGCAATGCAGCCGCTCCCTCAGGTAGTAGCCTTTGTTGCTGCCGTCGCTGCGTTTGTTGCTTGTCCCTAGCACCCGATACCATCCTGCCGCTAGCCTGCACGTTAAGGGGATTTATGTGGGCGAACAGCCGCATGGTTAGCGAAGACACGATGCGGCGTAAAAGCTGCTGGAGACGATCTTGTGCTAGCTCGACTGGAATCTGAGGAATATAAACAGATGGCCAAATGTTTTCGCAGCTCTGGCCGTTGGTGCTGCTGTGCCGTGCAACATGTTGTACGTAAGAGCTCAAACACGAATTTTAAGGGAAGCGAGGTGACTAAGACAGTAAAAGAACAAGTTGCGGACACTGACCACACAACAAAAGCGACAGATTCGGAGAACTCACGCAGAGGGCTGAAGCCACGCCAGCCACAGAGACACTGGTGTGCCGAACAGCAGCAGCTCCGGCTGCGCGCGCTATTGTAGTCGGGGCAGCAAGAAGGTGTGAAAACAGCAGCAAACGATCCGCGAACACTGAAGGAGGGGGCAATGGGGTAAATACCGTTTGTGGAGAGCGTTTAGAGTGCGCACTCTGCCACTGTCGTTGCTGCCGCTGCTGCTGCTGTTGCTGCTGCTGCTCCAACAGATACACATATTGCTGTACTATTGGGCGAGCCCACTGCGTGCTACCGATGAGTGGAGGACCACTGAACATGCTCGAACTGGATCTGCTACGCCTAAGGTCCGGCTCGAGCTGCGGCTGCAGCTGCACCTTTAATTTCATCAACGCGCTGTAAAGTGCCTCGTCCTGTCCATCCCAGTCAATTGATGAAATCACGCCACTGCTGTTGTTCTTGATGCTGCTGCGTTTTTGGGGAGATTCCCCTCGAGGCATGAGAAACGCTGCTGCAGCAGTGCCGACAGAAAGAAGCCTTGATATCGAAGCTTCATCTTGCGCTGGTAGCTGCAGCATTTGACCTTGTTTTCCCTGCTGGCGTTGAAGCAACAGCAACCACGAAGGAAGTTGCCGCTGAGCCTGGGACACATTAGCCTGCGGCGAGTCTCTCAAGATCTCTGGCCCCTCCTGCGCTCTACCCTGTAAAACACAACACCTAGAAAGCCGCAGTCGAGGTGAATTAGCAGTGAGAGCACTGGCAGCAGCAAAGCCTGAGAATTTGGACACAAATGACGGCAGCCTCACTGTACGCGCTCACTTACCACCGGAGCGATAAAGATGTTAAATAAATTTGCAGAAGCACAACAGCAATGCAGAAACTACACACGCCTCAACGGCAACTGCCATCATGATCTGCTAAACGCATATATTCTGCATATACAATCTCTGTATATTAACAATAACGCATGCACTAGTGCTGATATATTCAGACACTGCTTCATATACAACAAAACTACCCGAAGCGTGGATTGCAGCACAGGAACAACCCGGTTGACACGGCAGGCATGTTGTTCACGAAGGTGCAGCAGATAATTTCGTACCGCAAAGTGGCTTGGGGTTTGTCGCGCCTTGCACCAAGGAAAAACCCGCAAAGCAGCACCAACAGCAGTAGCAGCTGCAGCAGCTGCTGCAGTCACTGCAGAATGAAAAGAAAACGTCATGGTGCGTAGGCCGGAACACGGAGAAACAGCAGCTGCCACAAACAACGAACAGACAAGTGCGACCGCGCAACAAGAAAGGCTTACAGAGACTTCTTGGGATTGTGGAGGTTGCGATGAAGCTGTGCACAGCATGGAAGTACAGACTGCTTTCATAAACACTATGTAGACGGATTCACCGGCGTTGCGCGGGCAGCAACTGTGAGACGAGAAGCGCCTGCAAAAACCAGCAGTAGCACCCTGAGAACCTCACCTACGCCGGCAGCTGTGTTTCCTGGCGGGACTCGTAAGGTCCTCTTGAAGCTGACATCGCCGTTTTTCTCTGCCACAGCAGCCAATGCAGCGAACAGCTCTGAGCCGCGGCAAGTGCCTTGGTGCTTAGGCTCCTGCTGGAGGCGGCGAAGCACCTGCAGCAGCTCTGTGGAAACACGCAATTGTAGAACAGCGGAGAGGACATGCAGCAGCAGCCAAGGAGGAACCAGAAAGAACAAAGAAGATAATAGATGCATTGCCACATAGTGCGAAGGCTGAGGTTTGCGAGCAGCACAGGCCGACGACGGCCCAGCCAGTTGCCTAATGTACTAGTGTCTAGCCAAATTTACACAAAACTGGTTAAGTATATCCTGATAGCCGCAAGATAGCAGATGATTTTCACAATATCAAAAAGCGGCAATCCAGCAACACAGGGAGGAAAGGGACACCTCAGGCAAAGCAACAGCAGCGGGGATAAGATTCACAGAACGAATCAGAAAGCAGTGACCAACCTCCTTCCCGAGCCAAAATCTTGACAAACTCCGCTGATTCATTCTGGAGCTCTCGGGGAACCTCAACGAGGTTCCCTTCAAGTGCCGCTGCTGCCTTGACCCACTGTTCGAGGTCACCTTTCCCACGCTCAGGATGCCCCTGGGGATCCCTAGCAAGAGCCATTAGCTCCTCAAGCTGAGTTGCAGAAACGCAGCATGCAAAGGCACACAGAAGCCCTATGGATCGAAGCTTGGGTCTGGCTTCCGGGCACGCTAACACGCCGATGACAAAACAAAGCAGGCAGGGGACGACAAAAGCTATGCAAACAACCAGGAACAGAAGCAGGGAGCGAGTGAGAAGGGAAAAAGACACAAAGGAAGGCAAAAAGACAGATGCACATATGCACGCGGAAAATTGAAACGAACCACTTTCAGACATAAGGGGGCACCGTAGAAAACAGGAAAAGAAACACATATGGACAAAGAGGTGCACAAGAAGAGCAGAAAACAGCGATGGCAGCAGGAGGCAGAACGCTAGATAGAGACCTGACGGAACAGGAAGACCCGGAACGGCGCGTAAGAAGACACGTCTCTGCTACCTGACTACGGCTCATCTGGTTCCTCTTGGCGTGACTTGCTTTCCACGAAGGGAATATCCGTGAATTTGACGGATCAGTGTTACGTAGGGTAAGAGGAACTGAACAACGTGCACTGTGCGCATGATAATCATGGTATTGTAAAATATCACTACCTACGAGATCTACTGCTCACTACTGCGTCTTCGTTGCGTGTGTACGGTAGGGCATCAATGAGGCCCCCAATAAGATTGTCGAGGGGTTCACCATCTCCCTCCTGCTGCTGCATTTGTTGTTGCTGCTGTGGCAAACCGAATAGCCTCGTCCCTTGAGGGTCACCTTGAAGTTTCTTCAGAGTTTCAGAAAAAGCCATATCAGCAGCAAGTTGCTCTTCCAATTGCTGCTTTTGCTGCTGCAGCTCCCCGTCAGACACTGGTGTATAAGGCTGTCCCAGCAGTTCAAACCAGTTTTTAGTGCTGCTGCTGCAGCTAGCACTGCTGCTGTCGCTGCTGCATTTCCGTCGGCATCTCTGATTATCAGAGTTGTGTGGAAATGCATCAGCTGGCGTTGAGCTGGCTGCAGCGCAGACGCGGCGTCGGCGTTGCTGCTGTCTTTGGTGCTGCATGGGAGTGTTAGGGGAGTAACAAAGCCGCGAATCGCTAGACAAAAAACAGGAGCACCCTTGAAAGCCCCTCAACAAAGAAAATTGTTCTTTTAGAAGCATTGTTGGGGAAGGCAAGAGGGGCAGCAGGGCAGCCCCTATTTTTTTGCAGTTGTAATCGAGCAGGAGCAGGAGCAGCGGCAGCAGCCGCTGCCCCGGGAGTGCTACCATCTTATTTGTTAACGAAGGACGTATGGTAGACGAATACAAGAGATACCAGGGCGGCTACTCATCGGGAAGGGAGGCCGTAGAGACAGGACAGAGCTGCGGAGACCCTAGAAGGGAGCCGCTCGAATGTATCTCGGACCAAAATCATTGGCTCCCTGCGCTCTGCCATCCAGAAAAGATCAGCGTCTTTCCACTTCATGCTAGGTTTGGTAGAGTTGCTGCTGATGCTTTCACCGGGACGGAGACCAGAATAACTGAGGCTGCGGCGGTGGCTGTCGCTGTCATGCCCAAGCTTACGAGCCTCTATATGTGTATGCACCGCGATAAGCCTGAATTCCACAGATCAATGAAGTGCGAATCTTCATATAAGGGAAATGAGGGTAGCTGGTCGGGAGCAGTCAGCGGCGCGTATGGGCTTTGCGCAGGGCCTGATGTCTTGACTGCTTGCAAGCCACGCAGAAGGGTTTTAAGAGCACCAGATGCCAAACCAACTAGTCCAAACAATAACAGCGAGATGCTCGCGTATAAGATGCAGCCGAGTTGCGTGAGCTTGGCATCAGGTGGGCGCATCCACCCTAGCAAGCCCTCGGGGGCCCCTCCTGTTTGAGGCTCTGTTGTGTCGTTGACACGGTTTGCGGAAAATTTGCCCAGCTTTGCATACATGTGAAACAGCTTACCCATCAACTAGAAAGTAATGAGCAGGGTTAAAGTAAACACGACTTTTGTTTCCTGTTTAATAGGAAAGCTCCGCATCAAGAGGGAAAGGCAAAGGGGGTCGGTCCTTCGAGGGCCCAACGCGGAACATTACCCCTGCCTTGCAGACGTGTGGGGCGGCAATGCGTAGCGTTGCGGGGGCATTAAGGCGCTTGAAACCAGTAGAAATACTCGTTTGAAATTTTAATTAGGCTTAAGCCCGTCCAGTTAGCTCAGGCTGAGGGCTGAAGGGCTGAATAGCAAGAAGCAGGATGCCTTGCTGCCTTCTCCCGAGTACAGCCTCACTCCACACTGATTTTTGCATGTGTGCCTTTGTTGTTGCTTCTCTTTGCTAGAGCAACACTTTAAATCAGGGTAGGCGACAACCCCTACTTCCAGGCCTGCAGCGAGCCTGTACAGTTGCAGGCCTGCCGCTGCGAGTGGCACAGCTCCTTCTGCGCATACTTTCATCCGTTTTCCCTTTTCTGCCCCTGTAATTCAAAGCAAGCAGTAGGACAATGGGAAAGTCGGCAAAGAAGGCAAAGGGGGAGGGGAAGAAAGCAGGGATTGGGGCCCTGAAGCGGGGAGCAGGGGGAAAGCAGTACATGAAGTCGAAAGGACAGACTCAGACAGGAGCATGGGGAGATCTTTCTGGACTGAGCGCCACTCGGAAAGCCAAAACACACAAGGGACGGCGCATATTGGCTGCGCGAGAGAGCGAGTCGTTTCCTGCAGTCAAAAGTTTGCTGCTATTGCGGGGCAGCCGCTGCAGCGCCGATCTACTCGGCTTACTGGGGGACCTGCGGGACTTGAAAAAACCAAATGCAGTGTATTTGTCACAGAGGAAGCAGGAAAACTTGCACCCGTTCGAAAACGCAGAACCCATAGAGTACCTAGCTCGCAAGAATGGATGCGGCCTCTTCGCTTATGCCAGTAGCAGCAAGAAACGCCCAGCCAGATTGGTGCTAGGTAGGGTCTACGACAATCAGATATTGGACATGCAGGAGTTCGCTGTTGCTCACTACACGCCTGCTGCTGCGTTTGCTGCAGTACAAGCGCCCGCCGCAGGCTCCGCTCCACTGCTGTTGCTGCAGGGAGGCCTGTGGGATGTTTCTGATGAAATGAGAAACGCGAGAAACATCTTCGGTGATTTGTTCAGAGCAGCAGAAGTTCCACCTGATGGTCCTACTCAGAAATTGTACTTAGGAGGGGTCGACCGCCTCATTGCTGTTAGCGCTGTACAGGCTACACCAGGCAGCGCAGCCACCGCAACAACAACTGCGGCGGCTGCAAAAGCAGTTATGGGAGGCAGTGAAGACTGTGAAACAGAAGCCTCAGCATCTGGTGCAACTGCTGATGGCACTGATTCCACTGCCGCTGACAGTGGGTACTCAGGGGACGTTTTGATTTGCGTAAGGCACTACAGAATCGCCTTGGTGAAAGCTGCAGACGCAGGCGGAGTGGGAGGACCAGCGGTCAAACTCGTAGAAGTTGGTCCCCAGATTGACCTAAGGTAAATGCCGTACGTCAGTTTTGGTGTAGTAGTTTCTTCTGGTGCTGTTGCGGCTTATTTTCTGTAGCTGTTCTGCTGCTGCCGTTTTTGTAACTGCAGGCCTGACCGCGTGCGTCTACCTTCCGCAGAGATGTGGAAGTCAGCTGTGAAGTCTCTCGAGAAGGCAAAGGCGGAGGAGAGGCGGGAGCGGCAAAAGGCTGCGGCTGACGGACAGGGTACTGTTGGTGGCCCCCACGCGTCCCAGAAAGTTCAAGGATCTCAAGCACTTACGAAAAAGAAGAGCAAAAACATAACGACCAATGTATTTGGGGACTCTGTCGGCCGAGTGTATGTTGGGAACACCGACTTCACCCGTCTGAAGCAAATTCAGTCACCGATGCTTCATAAGCTACGCCGAGAAGAAAACAAGGGGAAGAAGCAACGGAGACAGGAAGAAACGGCAGAATAAGTAGCAACGACGGAAACCTAACTTTGCTGCAGCTCCCTGCTGGGGCTGCAGCGACAGTTGTGAGGAGCTGCTGTTGGCCCACAAGCAACAACTTGTCAAGCCCTGTTCGCTTGGTTCTAATAGTCACATGCCGCATTCACCAACAGCACCCCGCAGTAAAGAAGCTCCGGGCAGTGCAATGAGCAGCCCTTTTACAACTAGGCTGAAACGTAGCACTAAACGTCGTAGCGGCGATGCGCCTACTGCTGTTCTTAGCAGCTAGGAAGGCCCCTACCGTCCCTGTTCCCCGCAGGGCACTGCGGTCGTGTGCGCTCACGATCTCCATGGTTCCGCTGAAGGCCATTGTGGGCCTGTAGGTATGGGGCAGGGCTTCAAAGGCCGCTACCTTGGCTTACCGGAAGCCAAACATACCAGCTGAGGGCGCCACGGCGAAGACTTGGCGTCGTTAGTTTTGTACCTTAACAGAGTCTCGTCTTAGACTTCGCGGAGTCTTACCTACACTCGACTGAATATAACGTATTCGATGTATTGTTTGAAAATGGCACAAACGTTTTCGTAGCACTATCAGTTTAGCTACAGGCAGACGGGGATGGTGGATATGTTCTTAAGAAAAAGCTCCTCATCCGACGTGAGCTGTTGAAACTGAATGGACTACATCAACGCAGTTTAGGTCCACATCTTCCGATGGAAGAGCCAAATCTCTGGTTGGCTGAACATTTGAAACGGCATGCAACCCTCATCCTCATGGATCCGGATCTATGTGTGTCACCTGCCGTTCTACACGTGAAGAAATTTCGTTGTTCGTCTTCATTTTACTTCCTGGCCTCCGATCGTGCAACTTCAACATACTGGTTTCCTACTTCCAAAGGTCTCGCTGTACAGTTTCCGGTGGATGCCTGATGAACAGCCACATGCTTCGTGGTGTATACCATGCACTGACGACGGGATGCCAGCTACTTCACTTTGCTGAAACCTCGACGGCGCTCGACCGAATGCGGCATTCCTTCGAATGTTCTGCCGAGCTCTCCTCGGATGCAAATGCCAAAAACCGTCACATCTACGTGAAGTTCCAAGACTAGAAACAAAGTGTGGGGAAGATAAGAGGCACGAAGAAATACGTCTTTTGCATCCGGAGTATATATATATATTTAATATCTGTGCACGTCCAACAATTCGCAGCAAAAAGCACATAGGCCCCAGCGTTTCTCTTATTCATCTGCAGTTCTCACAGGTCCTGTAATGACGCCTCAGGGGCGTGCATCAACGAAGATAAGCAAAACTAAACATTACCCGCCAAGCGAAAATGCTCGAAAGTGTGAAATTGGGAAAAGAGCACAGCCCGCCACACAAAGAACAGCAAGGGCTGCCCTCGAAATGTTAAGTACACAGTATAACGTCCAGCGCTTGCAGTACAAAACTTCAGGCGTTTCGGCGAAGCCTGCACAACGAGTCCCCATTAGCCCCTCAAAATAGTAGTTAACATAAAGCGTGTGAGATACAACCGCCTATACTGTCACTGATTTCCGACGGCTCGAAGGCCCTCTGGCGAAAATCTCACGAAAACATGTTTCCAATGTCGCAGCATCCTTGCCACGGCCTTGTCTACTGCCGCCTTGATTTCCCTCTGTTGGCGTTGCTGTTGTTGGTTCCTTGCTGTGAGAGGTCTCCCGGTTGCACTACTGCAGCTGGGCTTCCTGTGAAGCTCTGCTGGAGCCCCCTGGCATGGCAAAGAAGAAGCCGCAGAATCCACAGCATCGTGCTGCAACTTTTCCTTGATTGTCTCAAAGTGGGGGCTTTTTAGTTCTACAATTTCAGGACTCAGCAAACAAGCAGCAGCAGCTTGAAGAGCCCGCAACTCTGGAAGGCACGCCTTCTCAGCAACCTCCTCAGACACGCCACAAGTCCTGTGAACGATGCGAGGGGTAGCCGCGGCGACATTACTGCTATTTGGAGGAAAGGCATGAACATGCGCAGTAGCAGTAACCGAATTGGTCACATCGCGAAGTGGTTGCTCGCCACTAGCAGAAGCCACAGCAGGTGCCGCAGCAGGTGTCATGTCTCCCGCAGTAGCAGCATCTGTTGTCTCATCCTGTAGTGCTTCTTTTGGGAGCTGCCCGTTGTCGGCTGCATCACCCTGCAAGCCGCTGGCCCCGGAAGCGCCAGCCTCAGTACTGTCAGCTGGCGTACCAAGTGGCGCCTCTACAACACCCAACGCACTTTCGGCTGCATCCAAGTCGCAGTTTCGTTGCTGCTTCTCCTCTGGTTGCCCCTGCTGATGCTTAGAATGAAGGCTTGGGGCTATCTGAGTGTCCCCAGTGTGGTTATGTCCATCGTCGCTTTCTTCATCCTCTACAAACTGCTCGGAACGTGGAGTTCGTGGGAAAGCTGGCTGGCAAGTCTTTGCCGTCCCTGCATACGGCGGTGGCTCGTACAATATCATTGAGGCGACAAGCTGCTTATCAACCCTCACAAACCCGCTTCGCTTCAGGCGCGTTTCTAGCACCTGCAAGTGTACTCCTGGAGGCAGCTGCTGCAGCCCGAAGACTCTCAAGGAAGGGCACCTCTGCAGTAGTTGTTCAACAGTCCTCGAGCTAACACCGGATACCTCACTGACACCTGCTGCTGGTGATGCTACCTTTGGACTTGGTGACTGAGCTACCTCTCGGCTTCTCGCGTGAGAGTTCTCCGAATCCTTTTCCTCCACAGAAGAGACAATGGCACCAAGAAAAAGAAACAACAAAGGAGAACCCCCCGCCCCAGCAAGCGCGCTTCCTCTCACCACAGGTGAGCCTTCGCCTCCTGTTGTCAGGCGCATCAGGGCCTCAACAGTGACTCTCCCTGCAACTGCCAAGCATAATAGGTCCGGCAACATCTCTCTGCTTCCTATATCGGAAACTGTGAATGGAAAAGAGAGCGACGTACTGTTAGGTGGCCCCGCAGTTGATGGCTCTTCCTCTGTGTCGCTGGCGCTTCTGTGCTCACTGCCTTCATCGCTGTTGGAATCGCGTGGGCACATACCTGTGCCGCCCACTGATTGCTCCCGACTTCCGTGGTGCTTCTCCGTCACATCTCCCGCCACCTTCTCAAATCCGTCATAGCGGCGTGATTGCCCAATGGCTAGATGTTGCAAATGACAGACGACAGGCGCAGAAGCCCCAGCATGAAAAGGTAATGGTACTGGTCCATCCACACTTAGAACTTCCAACTGAGGTACGTGAGACTCTAAGAAGCGTTGTAGTAAACCTGCATCCACTCCCCTATAGCTGCGGCCCCTTATACTGCCCGTTCTGGGGCTCTGCATCTTCAAATCGGTCCCTGCTAACGATGCTGTTTCTGCAGCGTCGCCACGTCGTTGCTGCTGCTGCCCCTTCAGGGATTTATGGAGCCCGCTGTATGCGTCAGTGAGATACAACTTCCTTAGAGAAGGCAACAACAGGCCTCTTGCACTCTGGCAGAAAAGACGCGCAGTGCCTCCGTACTGATGGAGCTGTGGCAGCGGGAGCAAAGGCCTCGAACCAGACGTCTCTCGAAAACCGATGGGTTCCTTTTCCCGCGAGCTAGCAGTTGCTGCACAAACGTCGGCGGCGTCTTCTCCATCTACACCATCTGCGGCAGTAGCGGCCTCAGTAACAGGGGCCTCAGCAGCGGCAACGCCCGCTTGCACTTCAGGAAAATCGCCGACCTGGGAATGCACCACAGGGGGAAGGCCATCCTGCAGTGACCCTGAATGGGAGCGCACAGGAACAGCTGCTCGTCCCTTGATCCGATGTACATATAGCTGGCGAATGGTGCCGCTACAGCACTCCAGAAAGACCAATAGAGACTTAATATTCGCTGTCGTTTGCTGCAGCAGTAGCTGCTGCACCGACGGGCAAACTAACAAAGGCAGCAGCATGCTGCAGCGCTTGAGGTGCATGCGTCTGACGTAGGGCAATACTTTGGCTTCGGTCTGGAGCAACAGATCCCTGCAACTCCGGCTTGCCAGGGACAAGTAGCGGGCCTCAGCTTTCTCTGCCTCTGGTAACGCTGTAGCTTCCTCTCCTCTCTCATCCATTCTTGGTGCTGCTTCTTCCACCTCAGGCTTTCTATCGTGTGTCTTTGCTTCCTCAAAGGCCGAACCCACTGCTGCCCCAGTGTGAGTGTGGAGACCGTGGCCTTCAATAGCGTTGCAAACATACAGAGACCTGAGAGCACGGCTCTGCACAGGCTGCTGCTGGTGTTGATGCTGCTGCTCCTGGCTGCTCATGGGAACCGCGAAGTGGCCAATGATGTCTACGAACTGCTTCAGCTCGTCTGGCTGACAGACAAATGCCGCCAAGATCGTTGGGCGAGCTGCAACTGCTGCAGCAAAGCAACGAAGAGCGCCTCCTGTGATTCCTGCTGTAGCAGCGTTCTCGTCTGCACTTGCCAACCCCAGCTGCTCTGTCTGCTGCTGCCTCTGCTGCATGAGGGATAGTGTATGCTCTAGTGTGGGCCTGCTCTCGAGGGACTGGACGGGGGTATCGTCAGAGTCCTCAAAGATATTTCCCCTTGCTAACCTGTAATGCAACTCCCACTGAAGGGCCTCGGTCTCCTGGGGTGTCTGATGAATGCCCTCCTCTGCAGAGACAGTACCCTGATTTCTCCAATGCTCCCCTTTGTCCCCTTCTTGCCGGGGCCAGGGCTCTGCGTCAGCAGACTCACCATGGCTTTCTACCAGGGAGCCATGGCTGCTCTCAGAACTTCTGCTTCTGCAGCTGCTGCAAGTGCTGAAGCCACCTAAGTAATTGCCCACGCTTGCTGTCAGCATGCGCGAAAATGCAGATCCGATGAGCGGCCTATTCAAAACCAGCACCTCCAGACAGTGCAAGTGCAGCAAATGCTGTTCTTGCTGCTGTTCTTGCTGCTGTTCTTGCTGATGCTCCTGCTCCCGCGGCTGCTGCTGTATGCCTTCTTGTAAGGGACAAATACACGAAGAGCCGGCAAGAAGCCCTAGGATACGACGCTGCACCTTGGCCACT